TGCAAACTATTGCAAGTCTTTCTGCAACATAGCCCTGTCTCTGACAGTTTCATTTTTTTTAAATTTGAAATCATCTGCAAATAATAAACAGCTTTAGTACTTGAGAACTGAGGGCAAGTCATTGACAAACATAAGAAATAGTAAGGGTCCTAAATTGGAATCTTGTGGAACTCCAGAATTAGCTTCATATTTCCCCGAGGTATTTCCATTATGCTTAACCACTGTTTTCAAGATAACTTCCGAACATTTTGAGTGTGCTATCAGAGAGTCCAATCTCATTCAACTTCGTTAATAGTAGGTACGTTATGATCAAATTTGTCGAAAGCCTTTTTAAAATCAGAAAACATTACAGTAAAAATCAACCAGTAAGTCAACTCCCACTACTTTCATTCATAAATTCACAAAGTTACCGGTGTCCTCAAAACGAAGTGCGGAGTCGATTTCGTTCTTTTACCATAGGCGTGCGCTCATATAAAAACGAAATTAAAGGATATAGAAAATTTTGTGGTAAGTTACTTATTCCGTACGGTGATTTCACAGGCTCTTCAAGAGTCCAACCCTTGAAACTTGCGGTCCACACATGTGTTGATATCGCCGTCCGGCCGACCCGAGCAAAAAATCCGGCCATTTAGAAAAATATTCACCGCAGTTTCAAATGTGTATTTTCTTTTTGTTTCATTTTCTTTATCTATTGTCTTGAATAATTTTTTTCTATGGTGTTGACTACATACAGTGTATGAAAGCCAAATGGAATTTATTTATTATTTTGGTTGCTGTACATATTAAAAAAAAATCCGGAAATACGTCAAATGTAAATCATAATTTGACATTCTTCAACATAAAAATGCCATCCCTACCTTCAAACCCCTTCGAATGACAGGTACAACCCCAAATTTTTTAAATGGGTTTGTGATATATCGTTTGAATGGTCTCTTCTTTCTCTTTTCAAATATGTTATCGCTTTCAAGTTTATTGTAACAATTAAGATAAAATAAATCAAAATCATGTGGTTACTGAAATTCGATAAAATACAGTAAAAACTAAAATGTAATGCAATCGTAATGAAATCTAGAATACGAAAAAGAACTATGGATGTTAACGAAGTAATCTCAAATAAAACTGTCTTCTAACATTATTTAACATATCAGGCGTGACTGGCCTAATCGCAAGCGTTATTCGTTCCTTAAAGTCATTCAAAATATGAAGGTTTAGTTTTTCACATATCCCAATGAAAGGAAATCTAATGATGAGAGATCAGGTGATTGCGCTGGCTATTCAATCGATTCTCGCCTCCCTATCCACCGATTGGGAAATGTTGTATCGAGGTATTGCCGGACATTAACTTGGTAATGTGGTGCTCCATCCTGCTGAAACCATATCGTATTCATTGAAACTTGAGGGTTTCCTTGAAGTAGTGCCAAATAATTATCGCCATTCAAGTTGCCCTCAATGAAAAAGGGACCAAAGATATGGTTTCCTACAATCCCTGCCCAAACATTAACCTTTTGAGTGTATTGCGTGTGTTCTTCTCTCATCCAATGAGGATTTTCCGTTGATCAGTAGCAGCAATTTTTCCGATTAGTATGACCGTTAAGAGATAACAGTCATTAGAAAACATAACGTCTTCTGATTGTATGATATTGTTATCCAACATGGCCATCATTTGCTTACAAAAATAAGTTCTTTTATTAAAATCGTCTTCCATGAGCTCCTGAGTAGGTATCATTTTATAGGGATATATTTTAATTTCTTTTATTATGTTTACTATCGATGTATGGCTAACATTGAATGTAGTGGATGCCTGTCTACTCGATGTATGTGGGTTTTCCTCAAACTCAATCATCACATCTAATTAGAGTTCATTACTTATTGCATTGGTAGCTGCTTTTTTTATCTGTTCCACATGACCAAGCTCGCGAAACTGCTTCTCTATAATTTTGGAAAATTATTTGAAAAATGTTTGAAAGATCGGTCAATACACTCTAGACTCAAACGATATAATCCACCTACAGCAGTTTGGATTTAGAAATGGTAAGTCTACCACTGATGCAATGTGCTCGGTCATAACAGAAGTAACTGAAAAATTAGATGCTAATAAGAAATGTATCGCAGTGTTTCTTGACTTAGCGAAAGCATTTGATACTGTGAATCATGAAAAGCTCCTCCATATACTGGAATGTTATGGAGTACGTGGGACAGTATTGAATGTCTTTCGCAGTTATCTCTCAGATAGAACACAAATAGTTAAACTGAATGACACCTTAAGTGATCTAAGAACGATAAAAATAGGAGTACCTCAGGACACAGTACTTGGACCTATTCTCTTTTTAATAACGCATTCTTATCTTCATCAACAAATGCAAAAGTAATATCATATGCGGATGATACCGTCATGTTGTTTAATGGCAATACATGGACTGAGACAAAAGATTTTCTGCAAAGAGATATGGAAATTGCCAAAAACTGGTTGGATAAGTACCAATTATCCCTGAATGTCAAGACCCTCCTTCAGTAGTATAAAAATTAAGAACATCAAAGAGGAAATCACAGACTTGAAAGAAATCAAGTACTTAGGGGTTATAATAGATAAAAACTTAAAATGGAGTAACCATATTGACTATCTAACAAATAAAGTGAGGAAGCTTATATATAAATTTTATCAACTACGAGAGATCCTCTCTAAAAATCTCCTTTTATTAATTTACAAATCACTGGCCGAATCACTCTTTCGTTATGGTATTCTAGTATGGGGAGGAATGTACAAAAATGCTCTACAAAAACTAAATGTCATTCAAAATTATATATTAAAAATAATATATAGGAAAACAAAACGTTATCAGACAACACTACTTTATAATGAAGACGTTGGTGNCAATTAGTTTTGAGTGTATTTTATCGAATTTCGGTAACCATATGATTTTAATTTTTTTTATCTTGATTGTTGAAGTAAACTTGAAAGCGATAACATTTTTGAATAGGGAATGAAGATACCTTTCAAACGATATATCATAAGCCTACACTCCCCATTAAAAATAAATTGGGGTTGTACCTGTCATTCGACGGGGGTTGATGGTAGGGGTAACATTTTTTCGTTGAAGTGTGTCGAATTATAATTTAAATTTGACGTTTTTCGGGATTTTGTTAAAATATGTACCGTAACCGAAATAATTAATTTATTCCATTTGGCTTTTACACATTGTATAATATAATGAGTTGCTAATAAGTATTCATGTGAAATAACAAAAAAAAGAGGTATTATCGTTTTGACTCACGATTATTTTATTATGAGTTCTGAATTTACATCTCCCATTTTCTAATCACTTAATAATAAAACAAATAACAATAAAAATAATAAAACAAATAACAATAACCCACTACAACAACTAAAAACAATAACAATAGCGAATAAACTAAACACAATATCAATTTCCGACCGTTTATTATAACTAATCCGATGCCCACCACACCGACGTCCGGGGTTCGATTCTCGTACCGATATTTTTTTTTAATTAGGACCACGTGACTGGTACCTGACAAGGGGGCCCGACGGGTTGAGGCGGAGTCCCAAGGGAGACCACGCTCTTTGAATCTCTCTGATACTCATTCCATCCTGCATCGATTACGTCACACATTTCTCTCTGCCACCCTCCGAAACATACGTACCTCGAGTTGGGTGTTGCACAAGATTCCGCTGGATGTCATAAAACTTGCAAAAAGTTTAGCTCCATAAGAAAATACATGGGATTTGTATGGGCCAGAATTCTCTTTGTTTATCTACTGATTTGAATTTCCCGCTGTATGCGCGGTAGTTTATGATTGTTGACTGAATGACAGCAAAAGTGGAGGAGTGGGGACGACTACGTCACACCTACCTTGAGTTGGGTGTTCCATAAGGTTCCGATCGGAGGTCGTAAAATTTCCAGAATGAAGTGCCATAAGAAGGTACATGGGATTTTGAGCTGTAATACTTAAGAGTTGTTGTGAAAAATTGATATTAGCTTTATTGATTAATTTTTTGGTAATAATTTTATTTATAAACCGTTAACGAGCCCAACGCCAAATAATTCATTTGGTGACATTCATTCATCTCCCTAAGTTCATCTATTGGCACTTCCTCGCTCATCGCTCAATTAGATTATTTGAGCCGGAAGGTGCGAACAGCCCTTATATTGGAGTTGAAGTATATTTGTTTTAATCATTTACTAATTGAAGTGAGTTTATTAATGTTTATACACTGAATTACTAACGAGAAAAATTGTCAAATGACAATCTTACCAGGAATAAACAGAGAATGTAATGATAATTCAAAGGCCAAGGTTAGGTTAGGTTAGGTTAGGTTAGGTTAAGATTGAACCCAACTGCAGTTATCGACTTTTCAACTTGTCACCCCCGCGAGTTTTTCAATTTGTTTATTTGGTCAACCCTGCAGCCGGGCCCCACTGAAAAAGTCTTCCAATGTTAAACCAAAACAGAGTGAAGAAACACAAAATTAAACATATAGGAGATGTTGAATGTTTAATTATGTGATGATTGATTTTGGGGCCCAAAATTTTCAAAAAGACGTTTCGAGTAGTGCGCCGCAACCAAATCGTATTTTGGTTTACTACAAAATTATCATAACGGAAGACATATAGAAATCGTTGAAAGTCATCTCACCAAATGGAAGACGTATATATTTTCAATCCGGGGTTTTAGATCCGCGGATTTATAACTATCATGAACTCCCTTTTTTTTCTGGAAATCCATAAAAAAGTCGGTAATGACTCCCTTTTCTATAAATATTTTTATAGATTATAGACACACACAATATCCACCTATCCTGATGATTGCATAAAGGNTTTTCAGCAAAAAATTATTTTGTTCAGTTTGTGGTTGTCTATCGTAAAGCTGATAAAAAATTGGGCCTTTGAAATGTTTAAAATGATTTTTTATCTCTTTTATGCATGAAACGGTAGTTATATTGGAATTAAGTTTAAGTGTATCATATTTATTTTTTATAGTTGGAGGATCAATTTGGAAATGCACTTCAAATTCCGTCAAGAGAAAAAAAAGCATTAATAGTTGCTATGACCTTACATGAAAAAGGAAAGTCTGCTTTGAAGAGAAATGATTATTCCAGAGCATTGATCTTTTTTTTAGAAGCAGATCAAGAATTCAGGTGAATAAATTTGCAGTGAACATTTTATTTATATGTACTCAGTAAGTGCATAGTTTTTAAATTAAATCTAATCAACTTGACAGAAAGTATTAGAACCTCTACTGTGAAATAAATCTAATGAAAACACTTCTTTACATCAGAACTAAATCACTGTCTGTCTCTCTACGCCTGTTTTGCTAACCAAGTTTTAGACAGTCTTGATTAGCGAATCGCGCATCAAGAAACATATTAACTTTCCAAACTCTTAATATAAATTATTATTTCAGACAATGTAATTCCCAATTACTCAAAACTGTCGATAATTATGCTTTATTAGATTTGGATATAGCTTGGTGCTATTTATGTTTGGAAAGTTTAGTCCATTTGCCAGAAGCATTCGAAAGACTACGTAGATGTGAGGAAAAATTTCATTCAACTTACGGACCTAATTTGGAACGACTCATAGCAGTTAAAGGAACACCAGGTTGTAGTTATCTTCTAGTATTTTAACATTATCAAAATGGTACCATTTTGTAGGAAATGAGGAAGCTTTATTCTTGAGACTTCATTTGATGCAGGCTATAGTTCTTTACCACCAAAACAAGAGACCTGAAGCTTTGAATTTATTGAAAAAGGTGGAAAGTGAACTGCAGAAACTCAAAGTCGACGACGAAAGTTTAATAACTCTGACAGAACTAGGTAGAAAAACACTTTTTTGAGCAGTATATCAATGTTTTTGTAGGTTATTCTGTTGCAGAAGCCACATTGGGTTTGCGTGCTACCAAAGGTGATGTGAATAAGGCAGCTAATTACATAAATGAAAATCGTGAAAAAAGAGCTGAAGCCAGAAGAAAAGCGCAAGCAAAGGCTATTTTGGAAAAGTATTTTCTCTCATCTTGATATTTTTTATGATAGGGGATTTATTGATGAATGAGAACCCAACCTCTTTTGAATGGAAATATCTTCTACATTATTGGTGAAGGAAAAGACATAGAACAAACTTTATTCATTTTCAGTTTAGTTTTTGCTTTATCTGCTTTACTTGTTTTTATCATGAACTCCCTTTTTTTTCTGGAAATCCATAAAAAAGTCGGTAATGACTCCCTTTTCTATAAATATTTTTATAGATTATAGACACACACAATATCCACCTATCCTGATGATTGCATAAAGGTGCGTATTCACCAAAAAAGCGAGCACGGGCGAACAAGAGTAAACGAGCATTCTGCATCGTCTGGTGAGTACGAACTAGCGAGCGAGAGAGCGTATGCTTGTTCGCGTTCAGAAAAGATCGAGAAGAAGACGGTAATACATGTTCGTGAAGAAGGCGGTAATACATGTGCGTATTCACCAAAAAATGCGAACATGAGCGAACACGAGCAAACATACACGAATGCTCGCTCCTGCTAGCTTTTTTGGTGAATACGCACCTTAAAAAACATTGTGAATAACTGTATAACAAAAAAGATTGAACTCTCTACAAGTAGCTTTAGAATCAGTTGATTGGAAAGTGGCTTATGACGAAAACAGCAACATAAATAAAATAGTAGAATTTATTAACATGTCTCACAGTTCACTTGAAAATTAAGTTTTCCACTAAAACAAATCAATACCAGGGACAAAAGACTAGTAACATTTTTTAACGACAAATTAAAACAAATGAGAGAAAACCTCTAGGCGTTGAATAGTATTAGAGCTGCAACTGGAAGGCCTGAACACGACAATGCATTTAAAGTTTACAAAAAGCAATACCAGAGCGCTATACAAAATGCAAAAAGAATTTTATTTGATAATTTCATTAATGAATCAAGTAATAAATCCAAGGACGCTTGGAAGCTAATTAACTATGAGCAATATTTAAACAAAAAACTTTCAGCCTCAAGCAGCATTTCCCCTAATGAATATAACATCTTTTTCACAAATATAGCTGAACAAACTGTAAAATATCTACCCTCCTGCAACATTAATGCTCTAACGTACCTTTTTACACTCCNTATCATCATATCAATTTGTATTTAGGTCTAACAAATCGACAACCCAAGCTGTGATGGCTATAGTTGATACAATAATAGAAAATATCTGCTCTAACTCTATGTGATCTAAGTAAGGCTTTTGGCAGTGTAAATCATGAGCTACTAGGTAAATTCGAATATTACAGGATACGTGGCAGAGCTTTAGAGCAAATGAAAACCTACTTATGTGGGAGAAAACAAGTTGTTTATACATCTGGAAATTCTAGCACATGTAGATCCTTTGTGCACGGTGTACCACAAGGGCCCATACCGGGAACAACCCTTTTTGTGGTATATATTGATGATATTTTTAATTTCTTACTCCCAAGCTCATCTTTTTGCTATGCAGATGATGTATCAACGGTAGAAGCAGACTCAAATGTTAACGACTTAATGGACCTATGTTCTAAAACAGATAATGATGCTGAAACTTTGTTTACTTCAAATTATCTTAAACTAAACAGGGATAAGACACAGAAAATTATAATATCAATAATTATAATATCAAATAGACAATTAACGAAGAAGCAACATGTAGATTTATTGGGGTTTAAAATTGATGACATATTAAATTGGGAACCACATGTTGCTGGTCTGTACAAAGAACTTTCTACACAACTGTTCCTACTAAGACAGCTGAAAATGTGTCTTAGTCGAAGTATGGTATTACAGACATAGGTACTTTTCTCTTTTTAACATATGGCATACTTTTATGGGGTCAGTCTTCACATGCATTAAAGCCTTTCGTATGCAAAAAAAGCAATCCGGATCATAGCCAATGTTTCTTACAGAGAAGTACCTGGCAACAAACACAGACATAGGTACTTTTCTCTTTTTAACATATGGCATATGGGGTCAGTCTTCACATGCATTAAAGCCTTTCGTATGCAAAAAAAGCAATCCGGATCATAGCCAATGTTTCTTACAGAGAAGTACGTGGCAACAAACACAGTAGAACCTTCATTAGGGAACCGTCTGAGAAAAGAACCGAAGAAGTACTTCAATATAGTGGGGATCGACTCAGAATAATTACAGGGTTACTAACCGGTCACTGTCCGCTTAGAGGACACCTGAATAAAATGGGGCTGTACAACGGAGACCTCAGCTGCAGATTATGCAACGAAGGGATAGAAACAGCTCTACACATCTTATTCGGATGTGAGGCACTAAATCACAGGAGGCAGGCAATATATGGACGTACAAAATTACGCCCAGAAGAATATGACGAACATCCAACACGGAACCTCTACAAACTAGTACAGGGAACGAGACTGATGGAATGGGTGTCATGAGAAGATGGGAGAATAAACGCAATAAGCCCAAGAGGCTGCAGTGTTTTCTGGAGACTCGGATTAAGTGGACAAGTCAGACAGCTCCCAAGGTACAAAAAAAAAGTATCTTACAAATGCTGACTTTCATAATTACCTTACTCGAAGAGGTGCACACCTGAGGCCTCAATTTTGGACAACATCTTTCAGCTCGAAACTCACTCAACTTACAATTATTCAATATTAAGCACTCACTATTAAGGCACTATTTCTACCCCATCGACGAATATTTGAATTGTGAGACATTAATCTTTTAATATGTTGAATGTGTTTTTATTTTTTTATTTCCAAAAATAACTATTTTAGATGTAATCAGCGTGTATAACCACAACTATTGTTCAATTATTGTTATTCTTGTTTGACTTGTGACTATTGCACATTTTGTGATTAATGTGATGAAATAAGCATATTCTACAATGAGTCTTTTACAGATTCAAGTTGATTTCTTCTGGAAGAATCCTCAATGATCCAGATTCCTTGGCTAGCCAGGGAGTAAAAAATGGCCAACAAATTCTTGCGATAATTTTATCAGAAAAACCATCAGCAATTGTGGAAAATGAAAATCAAATAAAAGAATTAGAAAATATCAAGACTGATTCCAGATTGCTTGCACTTGATAGTGAATATATGCAGGTAATTAGGTGAACAAAAATCTACTTTTTGTGAAATAAATAGTTGATACCTGATATCCACTGCATAGCACTGTTACCTCAGTAATGATAAGAAGTTCAGGGGAGTTGACTTCATNAGAAGCCACATTGGGTTTGCGTGCTACCAAAGGTGATGTGAATAAGGCAGCTAATTACATAAATGAAAATCGTGAAAAAAGAGCTGAAGCCAGAAGAAAAGCGCAAGCAAAGGCTATTTTGGAAAAGTATTTTCTCTCATCTTGATATTTTTTATGATAGGGGATTTATTGATGAATGAGAACCCAACCTCTTCTGAATGGAAATATCTTCTACATTATTGGTGAAGGAAAAGACATAGAACAAACTTTATTCATTTTCAGTTTAGTTTTTGCTTTATCTGCTTTACTTGTTTTTAGTTGTTTTTTTTATAACTGATTTCACTGGAGTCTTTGCCTGGATCATTAGTCTTCCTCTTTTTATAAATCAACTTAGTGGCTTTTATTTACCCTTTCATTTTTAAATAGCATCCATTATCCACAGCACTCTGTTGATGAGAAAGTATTTGAAATAATAATAAATGTCATTTATTGGTGAATACTAAAGGGCCATAGACGGAAGTCTGCAGCATGTGCAATTTTTAAATATTCACAGTGACTTTTACATGTGCTTACATAATGGAATTAAAGTACATCAGAATTGTGGAAAAACGTCTATGATAAATTATGAGAGTGATTTGATGTTTTCCCAAATAGTGTTTTCTGGATATTTGAATTTCGTTGGTTGTCTTTCAGCTGTTTCCCTACATAATGCCTGCAGGGTCTCCAAGTTAGTTTCGTTTTTTACAAGTAGTTTCCTAAGTCTGATAGTCTCTCCTTTATAGGTTTCATTTTCGTAGTTTCATACGCATTTTGGTAACATTCTTTAGTGCAGATGTTTCAGCTGGATAAAATTTTATTTTTGTTTTCATTGTAATTTTAAATCTCATCTTTGAAAGTTTTAGTCATTACATGATACAGATTATTTTTAACAGGAAATTTGTTTTTGAGTAACAGGATGTGACACATTTGTTTATATTTTTGTTTTTTTTATAAATAACTTTTGAAAAGAATGTGAATATTCTGAATTGAATTGGTGCTTGAGGTTTCCTAATGAGAAATTAAAATTTGTTCTGTTTCGCTATATTTTAGAGAAAGATTTTTATGTCTTTTTCTTTTTTAAAGAGTTGTTGCTTTTTCGTGCATACTTATGTAACATTTCTCATTCAATGTATTATTGTGGACCTACTATTTTGTTTTAGAGAAAAGAAGAAACTTGGAAAATGCTCAGACGGAAAGCAATTTGTAAATCCAAATTTTTTAAAAATTCTAGTTAATATGGGATATAACAAAGAGGTCGCCCGAGTAGCATTGATGAAGAAAAATAACATAATTTCTGATAGCATACAGTATATTCAGGAAAACCCATTGCCAAGTTCCAGCAAATCTAAAAGTACCGAGCTTCTTGCACTGATCGAAGATTTATCAAAAGAGGTAAGATTTTTTGTATGAATTTTTCAAATGTTTTCCATTATCGATTCAGTGCCCCCTCACGTAAGAGTAATATACATCATATAAGGAACTCATTTATAAGTAACTATTCTTGGGAATACAATGTGTTTGATGAGGAAATTTTTTTGGATCATCGGAGCAGAACTTTGAAATCAAAGTGTAACTCAGTCATATCCAGTCGAAACACTACGAAAACAAACTGTGAAGTCTATAAGACAGACCAGTTATTATCTCTTTGAAGATCAGCTGTTTTCTCTATGAAGAACCAATGTTGTCCTTCAGTCTTAATAGCTCAAATAGGAATGTTTCCTGGCGGAATTAAGATTTGGAAAGAATCAGGTAATAAAATTCAAAAGCCTTTGAAATTGCAAGGAAATTAGGTGTATAAAACCAATACAAAAAATTCTTGAGTGTGTACAACAAAGCCATGAGGAAATACAAGAAAGACTCTCAGTAGGAGGTAATGAGAGGTGGTGGAACAGGCATGTACGAGATACTACAAGACATTTTCGAAAAAACCTATTGTCTCAATGAAAAATAATAATAATAATATATCGTCATTTTCAGTTGTCTGTTCTGATGTCAGGAAAGCAATACTAGCCACGGTTCCTTTTGCAGACACTTTCTTTGCTCATTTGCTCCGCTTTACTAAAGTTACCACTTCTATAATTTCTTTTCTGATTTTAGTTACCATCTATCTAGTTTGAAAAAAGTAGTTTCCCTTTAAAATTTCCCAATTTGACCCACTCTGTACAACATCAATTCGTGCACGTGTATGATAGATAACGAAATATATTCACCTAATTATTATCATCTGTGCATAAATCTACAAAAAGGTGAAGCTATTACACGATCAATATAATCATAAAATTAAAATTGCTGTCTACGTAAACGAAATGAGAAATCCTTGAAGCAAATGCGATCGCCGGTGTAATTGCTCAAAACATGACCCAATTATGTTGATGTTAGATTCCAAAATAGAGAAAGATGTAGAGGCCAAAATTGGACAAATGTATTGGTTATACTTAAAGGTAGTAGAATTCATGGTAATATATGAATTTTTGGTTTGATGACCAAAGATGAAATAAGCAAACGCTATCTAGGCACGGTACAATTACCAGATTCTTTGGAAATAACGGGTCCAATCACCACCAGGAATCGTTAAGACCCTAACTGATTATTCACTTGGGATCTGTAACACAAAGGAAAGTCTCTACAAGTCATTAGGCCATATCAGGAAAGATCTTCAGCAGAATAGTTACTTCAAAAAACTGGTGGAACAGACTTTAGCTACAAGACAAGAGCCCCATAAGGAAAAGAAGATGACACAACCAGGGGATTGTTGAAGAGAATAAGAAGAATTAGGTCTAAGTACAAAATTAGAGTATGCTTCAGACCCGGAAACATCATGATTAGCAGCATCATTAAATCCAGGCTATGGAATGCAGATAGCGACTTCTAAAATTGTATTTACTGGATATTATGTGAGTGCAGCAAGTCTTGTGTTAGTGAAAAGTCAGTTTGAAATTAACAATATTGACGTCAGATGATTATTTTTCAAAAGTTTTTTGTAGTTTCCATTAATAATCAATTGATACAGTTATTAGAAGCAGAACTGTATTATAAAAGATAATATCTATTTGTGAAACTTTTTTGTTTTTCAAGTTGTCATTTTGGCATTTCATAATCCAGTGAAAATAAAGACAAAATTCCAATTTGGAAAATAAATATGATGAAACGGAAAAGTGGCAGAAATTCCGATCAATCCCCCAAGACATGATGAGTGATACTTGATTTTTCTGGTCTTCGAAATCGGATATCTTCTACGTTATCTTTGAATCGAGTTTTAATGGTTCACTTAGTCTGATTAATATATTTTTTGTCACCGTCCTCATAGCTTATTTCATATATCCTCGACTTTTCCAAGATATTGTTTTTAGGGTTACCTAACATTTCTTGAATTGTTCGAAGGCTACTTTCGTGTTCCACTCTTTGAGAATACGATCTTATCATTAGTGTATCTTGGTTCAGACGGAAGGACAATAAACTTTGAATCTATGTCTTTTTGAAAAAGTTGAATATTTATGAAGATTCTCTATAAATGTATGTTTCCTAATAAACTTATCTACAATATTTGAAGGATACCTGTTGCCTTCAGCTATGTCCCTGATAACATTTTTCTCAATATCACACCTTTCTTTACTCAAGGAGAACGTGTTGTGGACAATGGTGTGAGCTATCAGAAATATATCTGAATGCATTGGTATTATTCCTGTGAACATCAAAGAATCCAAGAATGGTAATTCTTTATTGTTTTCAATCTCTGTTGTTAAGAGTTGAAACAGAGTCTTCTACCTTCAAATACATCGTGTAGATATCGGATCTAAGTCCTTGGAAAGTAATCCATCTCCTTTTTTGCTTCAGATTCAAATCTGCTCATGAACAAATCAGCTATAAAGACTGACAGTGGGTTGACAGTTAGGGAACTGGAGTAATTTTAGTCCATGCAGATTTTTGTTGATTGTAAAAAATCTCTCAAGTATTCAATATTTTTTGGTATAAGGACTCTTAGAAATGAAGAGAATACAAATTATACTAAAATCTCTTCATTTCGAAACTTTATGTCCCTAATTTCATCTATGTTTTATTAGTCATTTAGCAATTTTAAAAGAAGGATGACTTAATGCGAAAACACCGACTTTATTTTAAGATTTATAGGATTAGACACCTGTAGACTCCTGTGCAAAACTGGTGCGATAAAATTTTAACACTTTTTGAGCGTGTTTTTTACTTTTAAAACTATCTTAGGCAGTGGGTTCGTTAGTAATTTTTTACAGGGACCATCTTAATTAAATTATCACTTCTCTCATAGCCATCGGACTTGTCCAATATATCACAGCCTCATGGCCTTTGTCTGCTTTCAGGTAGAAAACATCTTTGTCTTTCAATCTTATGATAACCTTTCTATTTTTGTAGATTATTATGAAAAATGAAAATTTGGGAGTATATGAAATAGGCTGTGAGGACTATGACAAAAAATGACACTGGTCAGATCAAGCAAGTTATTGGAATTCTTTCAAAGAACGCAAAGCATATATCCGCTTTCAAAAAATATAGTGTTGCCCAACACGAGAACGACCATCTGTCTGTAATTTTTGAGGCCGGTTCATGACACTAGAGATTTTTGGAAGTTTTCAAAAGTCTGGAAATAGCAAAGTGTAGCATGAGAACTTTGAATAGTGACGAAGGTCCCATTCCAAACCTTTATGTGAATCGCTCTATTAAAATAAGTGGAAGTGTACCCTGTTCGATGTGAATAGAGACCAGTATGAAAGTTAGAATTAGTCCACTTTATCTCCTGCAGGCGCCAACTTTGTTGGTGAAACATGCGTCGAAAAAAGTGTTGCAGTTTTGGTGTTTGGAAGAAATGCTTGTTTTGGATATTTGGTTTTTGAAAATACATCTCCGGAAATCTTACCTCACAAATTTTGTTCGTTAATATTCAATAAACTTTGCTGAGAAAGTATTGCTTTTTGCCAAACAGAAATATATGCATATAAAGAACGGAATATGCTTGAATTAAAGACATAAGAAAATTACAAAAAAACAACTTATAGGCTAGAGGAGATAAAACAATGGGATGATTTTCAGAGACAAATGTTTTTTGTCGTTGATTCAAAATTCATTAATGAAATGGCTTGATGATGTTTTCTACCTGAAAGCAGATGAAGGCAATAAGGTTGTGTGACAAGTCAAATTACCACGAAAAAGGTGAAAATTCAATGGTGAATGGTCTCTGTAATAAATCACCTAGGAACCTATTGCCTAAGGTGGTTTCAGAAGTGAAAAACGCGCTCAAGAAGTATCACAATTTGATCACATCGATATCGAACAAGAATCTACAGGTTTCTAATCTTACAGTTCCTAAAATATACGATTAACCAAAAATTCACAAGCCTGATAAGTTGGTGCAACTAATTGTCTTCGCCATAGGTTCCCCTATGTCTAAATGTCTAACTAAACAGTTTGATACTTTCTTAATCTCATAATTGAGTTATGGTGTTCTTAATTCACATGAATTCATAGATTCAGTTAAGGATGTAAAGTTGTAATATGAAGAGATTTTAGTACCATCTGATATATCCTATTTGTTTTCAAGTGTACCTATACCAAAAACTAAGGATATGTGAGTGATATTTTTAGGGTCAATGGCCTCAGTGAATTAATTTATTGAAGACTACAAACAACTAACAAAAATCAGCATGGAATAGAATTGTTTCCAGTTCAACAACTGTTTCCACAGACAGTATGAAAGCACGGCAATGGGAAACCCGCTGTCCCCCCTTATAGCTAATCTGTTCATTAGCAGATTTGAATTGAAAGCAAAAAAGGAGTTAGAATAATTAATTGATGGATGTAGCCGTTACTACGTGGTAGGAAATCATAATGAAGAAAAGAGAATTGAAACTTTCTATGTTTTTTACTACTTTTATTTGTAACTGCAGTAACGTTAGTTACAAATAAAAGTAGTAAAAAACATAGAAAGGAGTTAGATTACTTTCCATTCGATATGCAGATGGTGTATTTGCAATTTTTGACACAATACAATACAAGAACAAGGAGTTATTTCGGATGTCTTGGTGACTAGAAGTAACCATAGCGTGAAATTTGATATCTATAAAGCTCACACCATAATATACAACAGTAAATGGCAGAACTGAACTTTCTGGTCCATAGGCTTGATACGTTCTCCTTAACTGAAGGAAGATTAAGTGAGAAAAATGTTATCAGTGATATATTTGAAAGCATTCGGTATCTTTGAAATATTGTAGATATGTTAATTAGAAAACGTAATTTTAGAGAGAATCTTCTTAAATGATCAACTTCTTGAAAACACGTTGATTCAAAGATCTGTCCCTCTTTATGAACCAAGATACACTAACAGAGTAGATTGTATTTTTAAAAAGTTGAAAGTAGCCTTCAAAACTTCTTGTCCATTTCAACAAATCTTAATTTAGACAAGATTTTGGGAAATGAAAAGTCGTGGATGTATGAAATAATTTGTGAGGACTGTGACAAAGACCAAGAGAGCTAGTAAAATTCATTTTAGAGACCACAAAGCACATATTCGATTTCGGAGACTACGGCCATAGAATTAATGAAAAATCTAAAATTGTTGAGAATGGTACATGACACAAGAATTTTCGATGCTTTCGAAAGTCTGGAAATGGAATGTGTGGCACAAGAACTATGAACAGTGACAAAGGTTCCATTCCATACAGTTCATTGTTTACCTTTATATGAATGGCTCTGTCAAAATCAGTTGGAAGTGTCACGAGGAAATTCCCCGCGAATTTCTACCCGAAATCATTGAGGTATGTGAAAATGAAAGTGGAAGTGTAAACTGTGGGTCAAGTTGGACACTTTTGAAGGGAAACTCCTATTTTCAAACTAGATAGAATGAAAACTGATGATTGTGTCTGAGGGTCAAATTTTATGATAAACCTAATGTCGAAAACTGCATATCGATATCTATCATCGTTTCTGAGTTATGGAATGTTTTTTGAAAATGTGCATTTTCGAAAAGTTGCTGTAACTTTTTTCCTGTCAGAAATTTCTTGTTTCTTTTAAAACATTTCCAAAACACTTTTTTACGTANTCCGACGTAGCCCGGGAAGTACGTATTTAATGAGACACCCTGTATATTTCAATATCCCTTAAAATTACCTTTCCAAAATTGTTGCACACTTGATGTTTTGCTAGAGTCATCTTTAAAATACAGAGCTTTTAGGTTTTTCCATGTAGACTTTGAAACGCACACTTTGATCAGGAATGCATTGGACGATGTGGCGATCAAATGGATTGCAAATATTTACTGGTAGCTGTTTTTTGAAGAAGGTTCTACAGGAGTCTCTTGGTTCAATTATTGCCTAAATTTGACGAAATTCATCTATACTAATATAAATATGAAAGTTTGTGAGGATATATTTATGTATTTCACGCCTTAAACGAGTGAACGGATTTAGATGAAACTTTATATAAACACAGCTTATACATCAGAAATACAGAGCTTTCAGGTTTTTTCATGTAGACTTTGAAATGCACATTTCGATCAAGCAGGCTTTGGATGACGAGGCGATAAAATAGAAGGAAATTGTTCCGTAGTAGCTATCAAATGTTGAGAAAGCTTTTCACAGCAGTAATTATAAAGCATACTTTCAATAAAACTGATAACAATTTATATTATATTTAATATTAATGAATGAAATTTCAACAACAATAATAATAATGATAAAGAACAAAGAATCAAATATATTTTTTCCGAGAAGATGTTCCTACACACAGGCGACATCTTTTGTGAACGTTTTTTGCTGAATTAATTAGTTCAATAGAAGTGAGAGAAGCAAAACTTTGCATCATTGCCGCTTCTAATTCGTATCTAGAATTGGTCGGCAATTCAAAAATAAGATCGAAATGGCCGTTTTCGAAAAATATGCTGTAACTCAGAAACAATAATAATAATAATAATAAACAGCTTTATTTCAGAGTAGATTACAAACTTTTATTGCTCTGTGTCGATATTGAAATTTGTGAACTGACTTATTTTTAGCTAGTGGATGCCGGTTTTGATGTCAGAATGGCCAGGCTTGCATTAGAAAAACACTCTGGAGATATAATGATGGCAGCAGAGGAGCTTATTACCAATGATGGAATTGTTTTAGGAGATCTGTCAAAGATAGGTAAGATATTATGTGCTAATCAGAAAAATCCATTTTTTGTGGAAAAGTTTTTCGGTAGACTTTACACTTGCATGAAATCACCTGTTAGAAAGTAGCGTTCCCTCAGTGCACACAAGCGTTTTCAAGATTTCTGAGGTTTCTTCGAAGGATTATAAATAGTGCCTTACAACTGAAAATTTCAACTCTGTCTAGCGCCACCCTACTCCTCCAAACTCTCCCCCCGTTCGTGCCGTCGACGCGTAACGTCGACCACTTGAAGGTACGAATTAGCGAGTGCAGAAGCCGGTCCTTTATTCATATCCATGATAATGAACACAATTATGTCTTTACAGTATTATTAAATAAACATAGTTGTCTACTCAATCCTTAATTCGTAATAAATGAAAACTGAAAAAATTTGTAAATACTAACTATAACTATTTACATAATCGGATGTTTTATATTTGGACTATCATGTTATGCTTTCTTAGATTGGGGAAACCATTGTTCAACCCTCGATCCATTCCTTTTTCCATCAGCATTAAGCTGACAGCTAATAGAGATGACAAGCACTGTCTTACGACAGTTCAAGTCTCTGCATATGATGATTCAGATGACAGTGACCTGTAGGTAGACCTAATCATTCATCAATCACCTAAAATTTCCATTCTGTAAAAAATGTACTAAAAATTGCATACAGTTGCTCCACACGACTCTGTTAGTGAACTTTGACAATTTTTATGGAACATAAAATTTATTTGAATATGTTCTATACTCCTGTTCTGTTTTTTTTTTATATTTTTGCAGTAATTATACCTATGAATTTATTAACTGAATTCAATATCCCATTCGTGCTTCCCTTTTCTGATATCCCCCTCAGGCTTGTTCCTTTTGTAACAGTTCAGCGGTTCAGCTTGATGAGATCTGACAAGTCGAAACAGTGCTATCTGATGTTAGATCACAAGTTCAATTAGTTAAAACTTCATATTTTTCTACAAATGATTTATATTTGGCCAGATTATAGGAATAGGGTTTATGATATTTTATTTGTAGAATAGTTGAATAATGATTAATACTATCAGAATATATTATTATTTGCAATTGATTTATGCATATTCCTTTGACATGCTTTTATTAGCTTAATTTCCATGTTTATCAAATGTATGATCAATACAAGATTTATTATCATCAATTTTTCGAGTATAATCAGTGACAAATGATAATAATCTATAATCATTCAAAATGTTACCATATGCATAAGCATACATTTGATGTGATATCAATATTTATATCTTCTATTACGATTCTGATATTTTCATTTGTTTCTCATTTGTCAAAAAACTGTTTTAATTCAGAATTAAAAATATGATAACAAGTCGAAGGGCGTCCATAAGTAGCAAATTTATCTAATTTCAGAAACTAATTGATGAATATTGTCAAATGAATTCAATATTGCCATTTTTGGTAATTGTTCCATCATTATAAACTAAATATTACCTATCTGAATTGAACAAGATAGTATTGTAAAGTTTTCATGAATATTATCATATTGAAATAATCTTCAAATTCATTCTAGCAATACATACTGTATATAAATAACTTCCGAAACCTATTCGTTAGAAACAAATGATTAATTTTGGTGCAAGCTTCACATAATTTTCATTTTTTATAATACTCTTAACATCTTCATTATTTGCTCTTTAGACAAAGACTTTTTAGTTATTCAATCATACAAATTTAAAACCATATCGCAGATCTTTTGATTTTTCTAGTAGTTTCAACTTCCAACTTATCAGCTGCTCATTTATGAATAGTTATATTTAGGATTCGAGTAATTCAACTTCCATGTATTTTTTAGTAGTGACCAAATACTTCGTTTGCTTATCATCTGATCTAATTTTGATTGTTTGACTTTTTTTCCTTACTCCCACTCTGTAGATAGGTACTCTCAATGTGTTTTTTACATCAAATTTCCATTTTTCAAAAATAGTTTGAAGAACAAAAATCTTTATTTTCGTGTTTATGTATACCAAAAATTTCTAAATTATTCTTTATGTAGTTGGTTCTTACTGATTGTCTACAGCTTCAAATAGTTGAATCCAACTTTCGAATATTTAATATCTTGATTCTTTTAAATATTCTCAGCTACAAAATCCATTCTCTTTAATTAAAAATTTAATTTCCATTAACCAGCTGTCCCAACCCTACGAACGACAACTCTAAGAAGTCGAAGCTTGTGCGAGCTAAGGACCAACGAGGTCTTACCTTTTAACGTGTGATTCCTAACTCTGAAAAGAAATGAAATGAAGCAATTTTGAGATTATTCTTCAATCAAGATCTTCACAAAACACTTTTTCACTTTTAGTACTATTTATAAAGTGTTTTCTAACCAAATCAGCGAAACTAATTTCGAATCAGAAGAACAACACACAAAACAAATAGGTTTAAATTTATCTATATTGTCTTCATTAGACATGGTTTTTGTTCACCTAGCCATATAGACGATAATGGTAATGTTTTTATTTGATTTTATCATTTTCAGAAACGAAATATTCCAAGACACTAGCTAAACTAGACGGGCAAAATAAAGGTGGTTTATACACTGCAAATATATTGTGTGCTGAAATTGTTTTTCCTTCTCTTTTCGGACGATATTTGTCTCACCAGGAGCTGAAATCTCCACGACAGATATCGTCTTGCTCTGGTGGTCGAGAAGAACTAGATCAACCTCATTAGCTTGTATGAGTCTGGGGGTGGGGAACGAATAGTTCCAATAAATTCGGCACTTCTCGTCCCCACAACATATCCAATATCCCCCGGAGCGTAGGACAACTCCGGTGTCTTGTCAATACCGTAAGAGTGCCGTAGGTGGTAATAAAGCACTATTAGAGCCGCGTTATGTCGGTGGATATAGGCTGAGACCGCATATGCTGAACATGCTGACAGAGAGTGCATTAGAGTCTGACACTTTGTGACAGGAACGTCTATACACATCATGCGACTGCGGTAGACTAAGACACCATCCTGGCAGGTCATGATGAACCCCTCAATTTCTGACACTTTGTGACAGGAACCTATACCCATACATATACCCATACTATACCCATCACACGAATGCGGTAGACTAAGACACCATTCTGGCAGGCCATGATGAACCCCTCAATTTCCGACTTCAGCCCACTTGACCTGAGAAAAGCGGAGGTCAGGCGATTTGAGTAATGCCTACAAAAAATAGAAAATATACAAAAACGTTTCTTTCAAATCCGTGTATAAAGGAAACCATTTATATTTTTCTGATCATATGTACATATACAGGATGTTCCAAATTAGGTCGAACATTGCCAACTCCGTTATTATTAATGCTACGAATTCGGGTAAACGGGCAAACTAGTAGCATTTTTAATGGCCTTCTCGATGCCAAAAACAAAATAAAATTACAGTCGCGTTTTCAAAATATTTCATAAAATGATATTTTTTTAAATAAAATCATTCATTATCTATTTGTAATAACATTCTCAACAACAAGGCTCATACCACTATTCTTCCTAAAGTTGAAAATGAGCGACTTATGTGGAAATATTTCTTTCTTGCAATAGTACAAAAAATTTCTTTTTTTTGACGAATAAAGAGCTATACAATATCGAGTAAATATTCAAAAATACCGCCTTCTTGTTGAACACATATTTGGGCTCTTCCCTTGACACTACGTGTTGCTTTCAACACAATTCGGACATCAATTCTATTAATAGTATAATTTTTCAGTCTATCTTCATTATTATGTTTTACTTTGTACACCTCATTTTTCAGAAATCCCCAAAAATAAAAATCTAGAGGTGTCATGTCTGTTGAACGAGAAGGCCACTTAACAGGAGCATTTGTAACAATCCGTTTCCAAAACAGTCTCGCAACATTCTTTTTACGCCACTGTAATTATGTGCCGGTGCTCCATCCTGCTGAAAATAGATCATCTGATGAGCCTCCATATCAAGATCGTCGAAAAACTCTTACAACACTCTTGTTAATAAATTATTGAAATGGGGTCTGTTCAAAGAACCCTGGTAGTAAAATGGACCAATAATTCTGCCTCTAAACAGACCACAACAAACAATATTACTAAATCGTCTTTGTAGATTGTGGGGATGGACTAAAAATAGATTGTGTCTACTTCTATAATGAAAATTCTTTCTATTATACATCCCACAATTTGAAAAATTAGCCTCATCGCTCCATATAATATTTTTATAGAAGTTTGGACCTTGTCTGCATTTATTCATAAACCACCGAAAAAACCCCAATCGTCATTGAAGAACAGACAGTGCAACAGCTATTTCTCTAGATAAATATCTGATGGAATTATTTGGATTCACCTCATAGTAGGCTAAAACGCCAATTTCTGTATCTTCAGATATTACAAAAAGTTTTTTTAGTTCTTCTCCTACCAAAAATTTTTTCATTTTTCCCAAATCGACAATGAAACAGCAAAAAAACACCGATTAGGTATTTCACTACTGGAGAATGAATTGCTGTCGTGTCGGAGTGCTCTTATGCTATTTTTCTGGCAAACCAAGTAGGATTTTAACATATTACTTTTTTTATGGGAAAACGGCATTTCGAAAAAAAATAATTCAAACAGTAGTTGAGAGTTACAATAATTTATAACATTATCATGATATACTTGAAAATATTTGACAAATAGTGTTTTAACAAAGTTTCAAGGCAACTTAATTTCTCATAATAATTCTGTTTTATCGAATCAAACACATTTTTTTCCAACCGCATCAATATGACGCTCCAATATTTTTCGAAAAAACACCAATCGTCTTTCAGGGTCACCAGGTTCTAGTGTTTCACTGGTCTTAACTTACAAGGAGAAATCTTATGTTTCTTTAGAATTCATTGAATAACAGACAGTGCAACAGCTATTTCTCTAGATAAATCTCTGATGGAATTATTTGGGTTCACCTCATAGTAGGCTAAAACGCCAATTTCTGTATCTTCAGATATTACAAAACGTTTTTTAGTTCTTCTCCTCCCAAAAACTTTTTCATTGTTCCCAAATCGACAATGAAACACAGCAAAAAAACACCGATTAGGTATTTCACTATTGGAGAACGAACGTATTACTTTTTTTATGGAAAAGCGGCATTTCGAAAAAAAAAATTCAAACAGTACTTGAGAGTTACAATAATTTATGACATCATCATGATATACTTGAAAATATTTGACAAATAGTGTTTTAACAAAGTTTCAAGGCAACTTTATTACTCATAATAATTCTGTTTTATCGAATCAAACACATTTTTTTCCAACCGCATTAATATGACGCTCCAGTATTTTCTGTTCTGTACAATAACGGTTTCAATGGTATCATTATATCAGACATATTTTTATTCACAAAATAAAGATGGGGTGTAAAGTGAGTGGATCGATATGGTGATCACGGCTTTCATGTTCAAATCTCAGCGCAAATTTTTCTTTCTGCTGTTAGTTACAAAATATTGTCATTTGTATAAGTACCAAAATTGTATGTTTAACGAATTAACAAATTAATAACGAATTAACAGTTTCTGAATGAAAAGTGAGAATTGATTGGTCAACTAATTAATTGGTTGTGCTGTGAATGGATGTCAAAAAAGTGAAGTTGGTCAATCAAAAAAGTGATTCCATCCAACTTTACTTTTTTGACATCTACTCATAGTACAAGAAACCAATCAATTCTCACTTATTTTATTCAGAAAACTCCCCCATCCGATCTGGTGAAGATAAAAAGAAAAATAGTATATTTTCATGTGTTATATTAAAATATTCATTTTACTTTACACAATAAAATTCCGGAAACAAATAAGTAACGTTTATCCTTGGCATTCGTATTCAATATTCATATTGGTGAAGAATCAAACACGTTCATGCAATATTGCAAGCACACACACATATTGTATTTCGTTCCCTTTGCACATCTGAACAAGCATTACGGACGGCAGCGGCGGCACTTTGCAAGTCTCGACACGTTGTACTGAATATGGAATTTGCAAGTTTTCACATGTAACAGTCGCTGAGCTTCTTAAAATATTATCTGTCTACATTGATAGGTGAAGTCAAGCCATAATTTCAGTTCTTCATTATCGAAATCAGATTAATTTTAGTGGACCCCTACTTACGAATTGTGAACCCCCATTTTTTGGGTCACGCCAATGTAGACCCCCGTCGAGTCTCTCGTGGATCCCTGGAAGTTAATCTGGACCTCTTTGGAAATCACTGATATAGAGGAAAATCAAACTTCCTCTTGAAGATGATCACTTGGTGATTGAAATATGTGTTGAGGTGTTAAAAAAAAGTTTGGTGTTGGGATAGAACTCCAGTAATATTAATTATGTTTATTGTCGTTACATTCTTCCTCTTGAAGATGATCACTTGGTGATTGAAATATGTGTCGAGGTGTTAAAAAAAAGTTTGGTGTTGGGATAGAACTCCAGTAATATTAATTATGTTTATTGTCGTTACATTCATATCTTCTTTTACATACTATTAAATTATTGTCAATATTTTATATATTCCATACATTTTTAGTTAACCAAATCAGGTAAACCTTTTTTTGTTCTTTTCTCCCTAGTATATACAAGTATCGCTTCACAAGGTGTTTATTCCACTGAATATTTTTGTATTACATGTTATTAATTGTACCTGAAGAATAAACTATATTATTATTATCATCTTTTTTTGATACAAAAAGAAAAAACTTTGGGGAATTCGAAGATTTGATTTTGACTCATTGGTTTTTATTCCATTTCAGTGTAATTTAAATTCTGAATGGCGTAAAAGAGATACGTTGCACCAATATATGATTACTTCTGAGATTTCTTTCTTTTTATTTGTAATGGGTGAACAGTCAGAGAAGTGGAAAACCAAATGTTTTTTTTTAATTTTCAAATTCAAAATATTTATTTTCTTGATTGGAATATTATACCTTGATTATTAATTGATAATGATAATACATTTTATTATTCCTAAGAAACATTATATGTGTAGAGTAGGGACAATGTAGAGCACTAATTAAAAATAAATGAACATACATCAAATAAAAGTGTCTTGAATTTCATGTGATTAAATTTTTTCATTTTGTTAGGAATTTTATTAGTAATTATTAATACATTCGTGCCCAAATTTGATTTTGTGTGATTGTGAAACTATATTTGGTTTCAGTTATTTGTGTTGGATTTTCTCTAGAGGTTCACCATTTCTAGGAATGTGTATTGTATTGTGTAGTATATTGAATGGTAGGTATTGTTGTGTTTTGATTTGTATCTGTTCCTCAATAAGTGAATTATGACTTTTAAATTTATGGATGTTTCAGTTTTCCCAGATGTCCATACGGTTTCCTTGTTTTATGAGTTTTATGTTCTCTGGTGGGGGAAAGTTATGTTTGTTTTGTACGGAGTGTGTTGCGAGGTTTGATTTATATGTTATTGGGTTTATGTATGCCTTTTTGTGCTCGTCGTACCTTTGAATCAGTTTTTTCTTGGTTTGGCTGATACAGAATTTGTTGCAGTCCGAGCATTGTATGCTGTACACTCCGTTTAGGTTTTTGTCTTCTTTTTCATAGCTGTTTTGTAAGTGATGTTAATGTTCAGGGGTTTGAAGAGGTTTGTTAGTTTTTTGATTTGGTGACCTACGTATGTGAATGCAGTCCATTGTTGTGTTGTTTTATTTGTTGGAGTAGTTTGATCCTTTTTCTGTATTTTTGTTTGATTCTATTATCTAATTTATCTTCTGTCTCTTGGGTGTATCCGTTCTCGTTTGTTATTTGGTATATGATTTTCCTTTCCTTGTTCCGGGCTTCATTGCTAAGTGGTATCCTTAACATTCTGTATATGAATGCGAAAAGGCAGCCATTTTGTGTGATGGTGGGTGGTTTGAACTTGCGGGTATGGTGGAGCTTGTTTGTGTAGATTTCCTGTTATTGCCATTTGAAATTGTGTTTTGTTGTAGTTATATCCGATAGTTATGTCCAGGTAGTTGAGTTTCGAGTTGTTCTCTTCCTCTATGCTGAAAATCAGTTTTTGATTTATTTTGTAAATTTACTTTGTTTCTTGTTCTATTCTTATTCTTGTTTTGTGATATGTACAGGCCATCTTCAACGTATCTGAACCATTCTCCTTTTTTATCGTGTGTTTTTACGTGAAGTACGTGTATACTTCAAATCGTAAAATAAGGCATTGAATATGTAGAATATAGTTAGTAAAGACACTCCCAAATAAGCCATCGTATGGCGAATCACCTGTTGCGTTTTGGTAAAATTGTTTAGCGAAAATCTCACAATGAAGTATTTTATGAATACTATACAAAGATGTGTAGATCATGCAAAAAAGTAACTTTCAGACAAACCTTGAAGGTGAACTTGTGTGAATTGATTTTGTATTCATTTTTCCGTCTTCATTATTATAATGTGTTGACATAAAATGAATAAAATATATACATGTATCATTACCGTTATACTAAATATAATAATTTTTTTTCATGTCAGAACAAAAGTATACACTTCCTTTCATTTTATGAAAATGATCCCTGGCTCACACATTTTCTTGTAAGTCTGTTATAACATTTACTTGCTGTTTGATAGTTCGTGAGATGTCTACTGATAAAAGACGTTTGATATTGCCTTTTTGAAGAACACATTGTATAAAGTACCCTTTTCAGTCACAATTTTTTCCCATATACATATTCCAAATTTTCACAAATAATTAAAATTTGTAGAGGCCTGTTCAACTGTTTGGTTTGAAATCTTGTTTCAAGTTTCTGAGAAGCTAGTCTTACTTTTCCAGTAATGTAATTGTGCATAGACATATTGCTATCCAATTGCCCATGGTATATACGTAACCTTGAGGCAGCTCGACATTTCGAGAGATTTGTTTGCCCTGATGTGAGATTGAAACGAGAGTGAGATTTTCAGAAGTAAACGGAAGTTTTTCATTTATACTTTGTTGAGCTAATATTTGAAGGAATCGGCCGATACTTGATGAACATCCATGACATATTCAAGAAACATTTTATTGTTGAATTTTCACTAGACAGTTTTACAAAAATGCAACACTGGTTTCACTATACAATAGCTTCATCAGGCGTGTCTGTACTTGGGCCATACTATTGAGCTGAGTTCAGGCTTCTAATTAGAAAGAAGTGAGCTGAGCAATACTTTGTATTTCTAATCTTCTCGAATGTGTCGTTGATGTTTTATAGAAAATGATTTGAGATAAAATAGCTTCCTGGGGAACACCAGCGTTGATGGTTAAATTTATAAATGGTTGAGGTTATTGTAATGAATAATTATTTTTCGAGGTAATATGAGACCATCTGAATGAAATGAAATCATGTATAACTATTCATCTTTAGCAACATACTCAACATAATCAATTCCACTACCAAAAACCCTCTCCAATATAATGTTCAGTATTGAAAGCATTTCCTCTTTATAAGCACTTGGAATTTTTTCCATGGACTTCACTAAATTTTTCTTGTCAAGCTCTTCTTTTCCCAAGGTGTCACTGATTTTTTGGACAATGCATTCAACTGACTCTTTCTCTAATAGGTAATCCACCGGTACAGATTGAACTAGTTTCTCTACCAGATTGACGATTACTTCGTGAACCTGTCCCTTTCTCAGCATTGCTTCATCAATCGTGTCTTCCAAAAGTTCTTTCGCATATTTTGTGAAACTTTCATCGCTCACCTGTAAGAACAGTTGCACATAAATCACTGAAATTTTTCCTTAAGAACAATAAAGCACTCTTGATGTTGAAGTTAAAAAAAAAGAATAACAACGATTTTTTGAAGTGCAATAAATTCGGTGAGACATCAAATCATATATTTTTCAACTGTTAACTCTAGTCTTCTTACAAAATAATTCAAAGTAAATACTTTTGCAATCATTTGATTCCATATTCGACACTGCAACTCCTATCTAGAGGGTGAAGACTGGTTTTTCAAACTTTCTTTGTTTGAACTTATTGATTACTGATCTGTATAATTAAGGTCTAGGTACAGTTCTTGAACTGAATTGAGAATTTGAATAACTTATCTCTGCAAAGAGGTACCCATGTGTGCAACTCCTCTTATATTAAATTTTCTTGAATATCATACATATCATACAAAACAAAGATAACCTTTTACGTAATGAGTGTGATACATCATCTTTGTACCAAAAAGTCTCTTTTATGCGGGATGCTTGTTTTATCACTTAGATGCTTTTAAATTCACGTAGGTACATTGCTGCTATTTATTTACTTTTTTATTTATGAACTAAGTGCTCGTGCTACATAATTTCATTTAAATTGAGAATTATTTACATGTTACAGTCTATTTCGAAAACTGTGTGAAGAAATGAATAAATTCAAAGGGCAGATTTTTATCACGGTCGAACAAAAAACGCTTGCATAGCCGCTGTCTGCGGTATCAGTCTGTTTTCGGTTTTTCCCTTAACCAGCTGACGCTCTACGAACAACAACCCTCAAAAGTCGAAACTTGGGCGAGCTTAGGGTCTTCCGAGCTTAGGGGTTCACTAAAAAAGTTATATCATCTACATATGAAGTTTCGACATAAATCATAACATTTTTGAGATTGTTGTCAGTTTATGTGGAATTGTTATGACAGATCTCTTCTTTAATTTTTGCTTGGTAGAGGTTATTTGAACCCCCACTTTGTAAAACAAAAAATGTGCACTGGATTGTTGGAGAGTTCTTGTAAATAACATGAGTTTTTTAATGCCTTCGTGGAGCTAAAGAGATTTCTTCAAAGTTTTGTGTGTGGGTACTTTGAATTCTAGATGGTAATACCAATATCCAGGTATTTGATTGAATTATATAAGGAATAATTGTTGTATATCTACACCTTATACCATATTTCATGTTCAAACACCCTTTCATTCGTTTATTTTCCAGATTGACTCCTACAATTCCTGATCTATACCTTATTTTTCATGATTAAAAGTCTGATACATGACCTAACTATATATCATTTCTTCAGTATATATAGGGAGGTGAGGTTTCAACCATAACTCAATCAATATTCGGAAACAATTTCCATTCTTACACATTTATCAAATAGGTACTTGCAAACCCAACTTTTACGCTGGCTTCATTCGTATTTTAACAACAGCATTATTGATAAATACCAAAATCTGATGGATAATAAAAGTCTTAAAATAAGATCGAGATTTATTGCTGTTTATTAACTGTCATGGAGATAAATCAGCATTTCTGATTTTAAACAGAAAACAGATTCGTGGTATTACGATAATTTTATCATTAATCTAAAGTGATTATAAGGTCATTTCAAGATTAGGTAAATTCAATAGAACTGGCCGATACTTGATGAACATCCGTATTTAAAAACTAATTATTAGAGTTTATTGTATGATTTTCACTATAAAGGGTTTATGCTTGAGGAAGCTATTGTATAGCGAAAGACGTATCACAGTTTTTGTAAAACCCTTCATTGTGAAAATCATACAATAAACTGTATTAATTAGTTTTTTTTTATTTCAAGATTTAATAGTTTGGTGACTTCTATTCGTCAATTTTGCTATTTATTGGTTTAGGATACAGACTTACATGGTTTTAACTCACAGACTCTTAACTCTTGTTTACTGATTTCACAAGTATTTCACTACATTTGTTACCTACTGTTTGAAACTTCTTGAAATATATTACTGACTTGCATGTTTCTAAATTATAAACTTGAATTAGTATCTGCACCAAAAAATAATCGAATTTTCCTGCAGGATCTGAATTCATATAAAAGTGTTATCGCTATTTTTCTGTAGTCACTTCATTGAAACTTTCGTCACGCTAATTTGATTCTAGATGGAAAAGGAAAATAGATTTTGATTTACTTTTATGCTCATTTTTTCAGATAACAATAATTAGGAAGTTGTCCCAATTTTCAGTAACTGAACTAGTTATTATATTTTATTGGTTTGTATTTTCTACTTTTAGATTGAAATAGTTATTTTTCAACCTTGTATCGCATGATGACAAAGTGCACGTAGCCTACACAATGACCTTATAATTCTTGGAGACGAGCAATTTGTTGATGTGAAATTATGAAGAACATCAATATTGGCAGTTTTTGCAATTCCTCTAACTCGAACAAATAGTTTCTCTAGTGGTGTTCCATGATCGATAGAATCTAAAGATCTGCTTTGATTGCAGCTTAATATCTAGTAGTCCTCGGACTATCAAAGGAATTTATTACTTTTTGGACAATCATTGCAGTCATCGTCGATTTTCCTTTCTGATGTCCATGCTAAGAACTATATAAACAAACTGGACTGATCTCTCTAAAAGTTCTATACCTACCACTGGTAGAAATGAACACGGTCCAAAGTTATTTGCAATATCTTCTTCTTTTTTGAAAACTGGTATTAGTTTTGAATACTTTAGTTCTACTGGGGACTCCATCTTTTATGCATTTATCGATTTCACAATTCTTATTATTTATATATTTTGTCACTAGCTTTGCACCTGTTCTGTTATATGCGGCTTGAGAGGCCTAGTTTCAATGATCAAGCCACTATTAAATTTTACTGGATACGGATGTTGCCGGTTTATATGAACTGATTTTGTTGCAAAATCAGTTGTGTTGTAAATTTTATTGGATACACGTCCTTGCACAACCAACCAAGAAAACCGTATATGAGCTAAATACTTCACGACCATATTTTTGACGAGTTTTTCTAAAGATTAGGTAATTTCGATTCGACTCTTGGTGAGTTCAGCCCATTTCTAACTAAACTAACTAAAAGCAGTATAGTTTTAGTGTTGTGTGAAATGTTTACCTCGGGATCCTGTATTTGATGAAGTTTTTCAGCTGCTGCGCTGATAAGGCTTTCCTGTTCAGCTAGAAACGTCTAATGTGCCATCCACCGTGAATCAGCCTGTATATTCATTAGCCGAGTGGGTAAAAGAATAATTTTACAATATAATATCAAATGAGGGAGTTATATGTTTATATGTTGAAGAATATAACTCAACGTCAAGTATAAATTAGTAATTTTGTTATAAACAATATTGTAACTGTAAAAATGGAATAATCTTTTTGAAAGAACTATTTTTTGTCAAATAATATTACAACATTGACAAATGAGGGTTCTTTATTGAAACACATTAAAGCAAGATCGGCATAAATAACGAAAGGAGTGTTGCAAGATCTATGCTGGAAAGTGCTTCCATTTCCAACCAAAATGAAAAATTGTTAAATTATTAGAACTTTGAAAACATCGTTCGCATTTTGAATTATTTTCTGTGATATTTACAAGTGGTAATGCAGGTGTGTTATGGAATTGTATAGCGAAACAGGTGTTGCGTTTTTGTAAAACTATTTAGAGTTAAAATCTCACAATAAAGTGTACCTTGAATAAATAACGCAGGTAACTTACAATAAGCCTGGTATATCAATTTCTTGTACTCTCTTTTCCGGAAAGATATCGTCTTCTCTTTCGATATACTTATCATAATCAATCCATTCTTTAGTACCCTTTTCTACTACTTCTCGCTTTTTCATTAGAGTAGACTCAAACTCAGCCTTGATTTCGGTTTTGGGGGGCAATCCTTTCGTTTTCAACATTTTGATTTCGACCTTGAGATCCTGGAGTTGGGAGCATTGATCTTCAATTATTTTTTGTAGTTTTTTTATCTCTTTCAAATAATGGGAGTGCGTCTCGAGAATTTTGTCGATTTGCTCTATTCTTTTAGGTTGCATCGTGATTATTTTAACAAGTTCTTTCTTTTCTTTATTCATGACGTGAAGAAGATCTAAACGTTTTGTATTTTCTTTTATAACTTCTGCCAGTTCACCAAGAGCGTTCGATATTTTACTCTGAAAAAAAAACTGTAAATGTAAAACAATACTTTTTGAAAGAAAGGAATGATTTGAAAAGTGGGTAACGAGACTTAGAGAAGATAGTTTTGCTTTCTTATTGTAAAATGAAAAAAAAATTATTTGAAAATTGTATTTTAAATAATTACCAACTAGTGTCGAAAAATCGGAGACGCTACAAATATTTTCACGCCTCATAAATACTGAAATGTATGGGTTAATTTTAGTTTCCATGTTGAAGTGTATGGAAACACATTCAGAATGCCTTTCACCAAATAGAAATTTCGGATACCATTCGATATATATTACCACATTTATTATGAGTAGGTAATGGACTACTCCCATTAAAAGGACCAAGATGAAGGGACAAGGACCACAAGTCCAAGGTAAAGAGATACAACTGTCTGGGGAGATTAAATATCTGGGAGTAATACTATATGAGTGAAAGTAACCAGATTCAATTCAATGCCACAAAAACCCAGGCATCGGTTTTCACAAAAAAGATAAATGTCTCCGAACCGGATATAATAATGGCAGGTCTGATAATTCCGCTTTCTGCTTCGATAAGTTTGTTGGGGGTTAAAATGGACACCAATATGTCTTAGCATAATCATGTCGTTGGAATTGCAAAGGCTACTTCTCAAAAGCTTGGAACACTGTTCCGAACCAGAAAACTGTAGACACCTCAGCAACTTTTGATTCTCTATAAAGCTCAGATCAGACCTTCTTTGGAGTATTGCTCTCACGTATGGAGCTCCGCCCCAAATATACCATGAAGCTGCTGGATTCCATCCAGAAAAGAGCCATCCGCCTGATTGGAGAGGCAAACATCACTTGCAACCTCGATAGTCTGGAACATATAGAAGGAAGGTTAGAGATTTGTCCCTCTTCTATAGATACTTTCACGAGAAGTGTGCAAGTGACTTGGCACATTTGATTCCCACAAGAGCGGTACATATCAGAAATACGCGACGGACTGTGGCTGTTCATCGTTTTGAGGTTCAACTCAGTACACCTCGAATTTCACTGTTTGAAAACTCTTTCATTTGGAGAACGGCATTTATGTGGAAAAAACTTCCTGAGAACATTTTTCCAAATGGATTTGATCTTTAGAGATTCAAATCCAATGTGAATCACTACTTTCGCATAGGTACCGCTCTAAGAGCGCCTCAAGGATGTTCCTGTAGTGCTTGTGTTTTGTCCGTAAAAAAAAGACGGATCTGGAACCAACACTTAAAGACAAATGAAACCAAGTTGGAGGTAGCAACAAATGGTGGTTGAATGCTGGCTAGATATACTTACGGAAGACAGGGAGGTTGAAAGTTGAAGCTAATTATGATGTTTTTGTTATACTCAATGGTGGTTGAACTATGATAACTTATGTTTCTTTTATTTAGTGGCCAAAGATGAACTAGCTACTCCCACTATAAGAAATATTACGGCTACATGATCGATCAATTTATATTTGTATTTATAGCAGGAATATTATATGAGGTCTCAACAAAATTAGCGTGTCAATATTCTTACAGACAGCCCAGTTGCAATCGGAATTTTGAATAATCCAAGAGTGCATGGGAATTTAGCAAAGAAATTATAAACTGATTCAACACAGCAGGATCAATAGGATCAGGTAAGAATAATTACAGGGCTATTCATTGGACACTGTTCATTTGAAGGACACTTGAATAAAATATTACTGTATAGAGGTAGGAATGGAGACAGTTCGTCATGTTTTTGGAAAAAGCATCTCTGAATTGTTCACATTAATTTCTTGATAAAATTGAACAAAGATCATACAATTTTGAACGTGTATGTGGAAGGAATGGGGTAAAGAGAGGAAAATAACTGGCTAAGAATATGAGGATATGAAAAGAAAATCAGATCATCGTCAACTGAAAGAGATAGATAAAGTTTTGCTGAAGAAGGTTACCAAATAAAATAACTAATCATTAATTTAAATTCCATTCTTCATCACATCATAAAATTACCAATAAAAGGTGATATATAAGTAGAGAACCGTGAAACAGGTCAATGTATTTGAAGAAAATCAAGGGACAATGGAGGTTTTGTGAAGAAAACAACAATGAGAATTATATAAACCAATTTCATGATAAATATAAGCGTTAACATTTTTTATGTCTTATATTCAAATAACACTTTTTTCCGAGATTTTCACTAGACAGTTTAAAAAATCGCCGTTTTGTGACTGTCCAGTGAAAATCTCAGAATAAAGTATTATTTGAATAAATTATAGATTAAGTGCCGGCTAATTCTATCATATATCTGATTAATACGTTCATTGTTATTACAAATTACTGGAAAAAGAAGAGATGTAGTGGATATGCAGGGAATATTGATACCTATAATATCAATGACCGAAGTTGAATATATAGATGTGGGTTAGTGATTAATTACGCTGACCCAGTTTTCTTGATCTAGAATACGTAGGAATTCATTCGTTATAGAATAGCGAACAGAAGAAGATGTTTCAATTTAAATCAGTTTCAGTGCTTTATTTCATAGTGATGATCCATCAGAAGAGAAATATATAAAGTGTCACATAACCGAATACTTTCCATATGTTTCTATTTTCAAAAAAAAATTCTATTACAGGAGCATTCCAAACTCGGGATGCCAAATAGACAATTCAAAACTTGAAAAAATATAGGAATACTTTGTTCAGTTTCTACAAATTTTTCAAACCGAACCACATACCTCAATAGTATTTCCCTTTCGTGTTTCCCCACTTTTCGATTTTAAATGATGTAGGTAGGTATGCTATAATTTATTTTTACTGATCTTATTCTCTTATTCACCATCGTCGCCACCCAATAGCTTGTCCCGTAGAAGAATCCGACCACATTTTTCTGCTACACTCCCCTCCCCATCTAGTTTAGAATGATTAGCGGTAGTTTTGCACCCAACGAGTGGAGAGTGAAATCAGGTTCTGCTATTTGATTAGGTTGGATAGTTACGTCACATATAGGTATGTTATGTTATGTTATGTTATGTTATGTTATGTTACGTTATGTTACGTTATGTTATGTTATGTTATGTTATGTTATGTGAGGTCAGGTCAGGTGAAGTTCCTAGTTTCAGTTAAGTCCACAAAGTCACCCAGAGGGAAACATAGAGAGTATTTTGTTCAAAATATATCTCAATTTCGAAGTTACTCATATATTGAACACCCTAAAGCCAATAGATACCATATTTGAATACCATGGATGATACCATGAAATATTTCCAAACTACTCTGCAAGCAAATAAATCAAGAGTATCAAGTCAATGATTGAGAAAAAACTAATCTTTTTCCCCTTTCAATAGATGAGTGTTTCATAGCTTTCCATTGCAGATTTGTGTTAACGAGAATGAGAATGGCGTCGCAGAAAGAAACATAATTTATTCTTGGTCTATGTTTCGTTCTGAAATCATCTTTAGAAATTTCAATAATCCTTGTACAAACTAGAAACCTAATCACATTCCATGTTTGATTGTTCTACTAATGTATTTTCGCTATGCATGAAACATTTATTTGATTTGAAAACACGAATTTTGATCTTCATATCCAAAGGAGGAAGTGGAAATAGTTTTGTCATAAGATCACATCAGTATAGAAAATTGAATAGATATTAAAGAGATTAATTCATTGTAGGAAGTTCGCTATACTTACATTCCAATGGGTCAGTTCAGCAATGTACATGCTTTTTATATCTGTATTTTTCATTCTGATATCATATACTCTACTTTTCAAAACAATTTCTTCCATTTCATCAACGTGCGATTTGTGAAAAGTTCTTTGAATAATCGCCATCGTTATTTCATCAATATCCACGAGTTTTCCAAATTTTTCTAACATGGATTTCTGCATATACATTTTTAAATCCTTTATTTTTCCCTCCATGTATCTCAAATCTTTTTTCATCCTCGTCAAATGTTTGTGATACGATCTGAAATACTGACAGTTTTTTCAACAAATATATGCCATGTTTTTTTTCCATCATCCAGATTCAAAATGAAAATTTCAAAAGTAATTATATTAAAAAATAAGCCGATACTTATTCATGTAGTGATCCTGCAAAATTATAAAGATGTCTAATTGTTTTCCCGAAAACACCGTGTTAGGAATCACACGTTAAAAGGTAAGACCTCGTTAGTCATTAGCTCGGACACGTTTCTTAACTTCTGAGAGTTGTCGTTCGTCTGAGGGCGACAGCTGATTAACGGAGAAACAGATTTCAAACAGATGTTTTTTAAAACTCAATTCGGAAAAGAAGTGTTATTGATATCACTCTGTTGAATGCATGACACTATGATTTGTTCAAAGAAAATAAAAAACTACATTATGATTTTACTTATAAAAAGAGGTCAGATACTTACTCATATTTAGTACTTTGTTGCAAATTTTCGGACTGTAAAACACCAACTCTTTTGTACAAATCAGACAAAGTACTTTTAGAAAATACCACGTACTTTGAGATTTCATCATACTCCGGATTATAATTGTAGGTTTGATCCAGAGTTAAAACAACTGTACAACTGACCTGATTCATCAGTATTTGTTTTTCTCTCTGAAATATTCATATTTTGATTTTTCATTTGTGCGGTACATCTATTCATTATGAACTCACCTGGTAGCTTTCCAACTCCATTTGACTGGTTTGCAACTGGTTTTGTAAAACATTCAATCTCCTAGAGCCCATCTCTATATCTTTTTTAACAGTATCCAAAATCCTGGTTTGTTCTCTGATAGACTGCTCTATTTCATGCCTATGGAAACAGTACAAAAAACTCTCAAATGAGGGTTTGTGCACTTATTGTAAACCCTTTTCTCACATCAGATAAAACCGTTCAGTATTTTTGTTCTGGTGTGGGAAAAGTGTTTTCAAAATATATTCAATTTACGCCAGACGTTCCATTTCTATCTGTCATGACGAGAGTGTTTCTGCTATATTGGTTTCTCTCCAGTGTATTTTTTAGTTACGAAATTTATACAAATCCAATTAAGGTAAATACTATATTATGGATACCGTTTATGAATTCAAAATTAACCTTTGCTGAATTAGTTGTCAAAGTTATTTTTTCCGAAGGTTTAGTTTCATTTATCGATGAGAAGCTTCACTCACACATGTCTATTTATTGAGTTTATTTTATTTTATTTAAATTTTTCTTTAATCTCCAATTCAATTTAATTTTCATTCATCCAAATCTTTACGTCGTTTGAAATGAAGGAGGGGGTTTATTTTGGAGAAATTAATTTTTTGGGTAAAACATTTTTCGGCTTTCTACTTGTTTTTAATTATTGATTTGTTCCAAATTTTACAATTAAAAAAAAGTAATTAGATTTCACCAATAATTTTTGACCCGATAAATTAATATCTAATCAATATTTTATTTACTATGAGTTTATAGCATAAGCCTTAATGTATAAAAACAAAAAAAAGTGTAGTGAAAAAATTTGACGAGATTTATATTGTTAACGGTATCTGGTAAGACGGTATGTCTTGCAACAAGATGTATCTACTGTACTTGCAAACGATGAACTGCATTTTTTGATACGCGGTAAATGTCTTGTTACAAGTACTCTCCCCAAATTTATTTTTGAGAGGGTAATTTATCAGAATGGGCTGAAATTATTGTCAAAGTACGTAGTCCCCGTACATCTCGTAAAAAGGGTGTTTAGGTCGAAATTCGGCAAACAGAGAAATTAGTAAGGATTGAAGATGATAGTTGCCATAATTTCAAAAAGATAGGAATGCAGAGAAATGTCACGTTAACGTTATAAATATCGGTATTTGAACCCAAATAATATAGTCATGAAGAAATCAAAAGTGAAAACTATCGAGGAGAGATACATACGTATAAGGAAATGAATATTACGAAATAAATTTCGAAATAGCGGAAGATGTAGCGAAACCGTGATGAAATTAATCGAGTCCCAGACACTTTGCTGTCTGGCTAGAATCTTTCCTGTACTCGAAACCGCGGTCTGCAGGTGATCCACTTGAATAATTTCAGCATGAAACATCTGCGAGATTAGCCTCTGTGAGGAATCTTGCATAAATGTCTGTCGGATATAATTCAATATCCAGCGTGGTTTTAGCCGGGAAAGTAGTTGTTTTTCGACAGACATTTACCTCACCCTACTGTGTAGATAGTTGGGAGAGATTAATATTTCGAAATTTATTTGGAAATATTCAGTTCCTTATAGTCATGAAGAAATAAAAAATAGACGGTCTTGAGAAAGTCAACAAAAGAAGTATTGGTTTTTTTTGAGGGTTGAGTTGCAAATTTACCCATCGTAAACAAATACCAATAACGTGAAAGTTTCCAATTTAAAAAACAAAATTGATATTACAACTTTGATCCAAGGATTAAAAATGTTAAATCAAAAGATTATAGAATCCTTAAAATTATGTAAAAAAACTGATACGTTTGAACACTACTTCATTCATTTATCTACTGTTATATGTTTCAAAATTGTTCCCAACGAAAATATATCCCTCTTGAATATTTCTAAAAATATTTAAAAAATATATGGGACCCGTTAGGAGGCATAATGAATCCTTTGAAATATCATATGTTGTATGCGTCATTATTGTAATTTCAAGATAACTCGGGTGAAAAGTAAGTATTATCGTGAATACCCTTAAAGTACACAAAATTTCCAATCAAACGATAATATATTGGGCAGAAATAATTTGCGCGACACCATGGACCGTTTAATTAATTGTAATAGACGACTTGAGCTTGGGGTTGCTATCCTGTCAACCCCAGTGGGTACCTACTATTCAAAAGTGTATATAGATATTTATACAAAACTTTTACATTTTTGTTCTCATTTTATTTGGACTATCATTGATTATATTTTATGTTATGTTATATTTTATGTCAAGTAACTGATAAGTAGACTACTGCCCTCGTTAACGGAAATTTATATGGAATAGAATAATTTAAAACTGAGAAAATACACCACTCTCATTCCTAGTCGTGGTTCTGTAATGGTTACTTTGTTATTAGTCAGAGTCCTATTTATTGTTTTGAACGGAAAACTCCGGTCTGCGCTTTTTTTGATGGCCGATCCATTTCTCATCAATTTTTATTGATTCACTTAAAAAATCTCCTTCAACGTCCGTTGGGACATGATTTTACTCAGCTAGCCCCGTGAATCATAAAATTGTTTCGACTACCTCACGAAAAGATCAACTCAAAAAATTGAAATTTGGGATAATGAAATTAATGCATCAATACTATATTTTTAAGTGAAATTGACAGATGAAACTTTCAAGATGGCGACTGGGGGTCTTGTGACACATCTTTTTGAAGCTCCTGACAAATGCTTCACAACTCTAGACTATAATGTCGATATCTTCAACTACTACAAAATGGCAGAACCTTTAATAATTGCCTGAATACAGTGACATTTAACAATATAATATGAGGTAATAAGCTTGAGGTCAGTTCAAAAGATGCTCGAAATAGTTGCCTTGAACTTCTTAACATATGAACAGCCTATCCGATATTTCACGCCGAACATTTTCGAACACAGTAACATCAATATCTCTACAAATATTTATTATTCTCTGCCGTATATCCAATATTGAAGCAGTTTCAGTTTCGTACACCTTTTGCTTCAAATAGCCCCATAAAAAAAGTCCAAAGGCAAGCAGGCTGGCCATTCTGTAGGACCTCGACGGCCAATCCAACGCAACGACCGGGAAAAGTAGTAAACAAATAGTTTCTTACTTGTCTGGAGTAACGTGGTAGTGCTCCATCTTGTTGGAATATACAATCGCTTCGACGATTTCAGTGATGAGAGGGTCAACAGTAGTTTCCAGCATATTCAAATACAGTTCCCCTGTTAAATTTTGACCAATAAATAGAGGTCTTACAATATGGTTTCCTAATATTCCTGCCCAAACTTTAGTTTTTTCTGGATATTGGGTATGTGTTTCCCGGAAAAGGTGAGGGTTGGTGTCACTCCAATAAAGGCAATTTTGTCTGTGAACATTGCCGTTTAAAAATAATGTAAATTCGTCACTAAAACAAATATTGTGGAGGTAGGTAGGATGCCTTGCAATGGTTTACGTCACGATTTCGCAGAATTCTGTTCTTTGATCGGAGTCATCTTCAGTTAATTGGTGTACTATTTTAATTTTATATGGATGATACCTATTCCTCTTCAAAAGTAGGTAGGTAGGTAGGTAGGTAGGTAGGATGCCTTGCAATGGTGTCCGTCACGATTTCGCAGAATTCTGTTCTTTGATCGGAGTCATCTTCAGTTAATTGGTGTACCATTTTAATTTTATATGGATGATACCTATTCCTCTTCAAAAGTCTCCACACAGTAGAAGGAGACACCTCACGAACATTCGCGACGGAATAAGTAGAGGATTTACTACCATCTCACCAATAATTTACACTTGCTGTTCTTTCGGAAAGGACGAATGACCTGGGGGCTTTTTGTTATGTAAATTACCGGTAGTTATGAATTTGGATATAAGTTCCCTCAAATATTTTCTACAGATAGGACGATTCGGAAAACGTTCATTGAAAATCATTTCAGTCTCGTGAAAGTTACCCGTCGCAGCGTAAATAAAAATCGCTTCAATTTTTTCTTCCAATGGACGAGAATTGACCATTTTAGAGATTGTTGACGTGGTACCTTTCCATTAGTAAAACCGAAAACTAAATGAGAATATTCTAACTGAACAATGATATTCATTGTCGAACTGACATTTTTTGTCGTTTTTATAAACAAAAAATAACTTGAAAAATAACAATAAAAATTGATTGGCGCTCCGAGGCGACTTCATTGATTCCAGTGGCGCATTTGCTTTTTCAGGTGCAGGAAAACCCGGAAAAACCTGCAGCACAACATCATCTGAAGATCTTGCTCTGCCAATGTCCTCTCTCTCATAAATGTAGGGTATCTACAGAGGCTCCAATGAATTCAATACATCGCCAGAACACTTCGTGAAACGACTATTGTCGAACTTAAACCAGTCCGTTTCGTCTTTGACCAAGGCGTAATAATGACCAAATTCAACGCCAGAACCACAGTGAACAATGACTGTTATAATAGTGTTATAATAGTGGTCTGCTTGATTGAAGTGTTCATCTATTTCGAACCTTTGAAAGAGTTTGGTACTTCCGTCAGAGATTGAGTCTTGTTTGAAGATCTTCAGTGTTATTATTAATTGACTGGTGCCTCAGCTATACCTGTTTCCTTATAACAGTCAGTTAGTTTGGCGCATGTTTGGCAATACAGTCGATCATCATCTGTTAAAAATTCCATTTTCAGATGATTTAACAATAAGCTTTGCAAGGACTGGTTATTATTAGTCATATCAGGAAACGCTATATGAAGTTTCAGTATATTTTACTAACATTGGGAAGTGAACACAAATGCCATTGCATACATTTAGATAAACTCATATATTGAATAACTACGAGTAAATAAACGGGAATCCTTCGAAAGCATAATATGGTAAGTTTTTATCGTTATCCTGGGTGTGCCATCGAAAATGTATGGGATTTGAGTTATATCTCATTGAAAAGGGCTTCCTAACCATTTCTGCTTAGCTTTTGATAATCGGCCCATTTGTTAAAAAAATATGGAGATATGGATTTCACTAGAATAATTACCGTAATAATCAAGTGAATGGTGTCCGCCAACCTCTATACATTAAACCGTTGTCATATATTTTGTTCTACTCGTGGTATTACTTTGTGGCATTAATTTATGATTTGCCTAGTAGCTTTTTCAATAAGGTGGAGTGCGATACACTTTGTTATTCTTGTGTTTCCACAAACAAAATTTAAAGGACTTACGTCAAGTAACAGTCGTGCTATCCTACAACCTCGAAATTGTCGTTTAAGTAGTAGGTACGCACATTTTGTGAGCAATGTGGAAGAGCACCATTAGCATTCCGCATATAATTCCTCCTCAATTCGGTGTCGGTTGGACGACACTTTATTGCTCAGTTGGGTCATATCCTTTGTTCGTTTCGGACAGTGCATCTGTCGCTTCTCGAAATTATGGCATGCGTTTCAATTGAACAAAGTGTTGACTTCAAATTTTTGAGTGAAATTTGGTAAATCCGTAACAAAGACGCATTCTCTTTTAGAACAAGTATATGGTGATGAATGTATGTCACGAGTACATGGGTTTTTGAGTGGTAAAAATGTTTCAAAGAAGGGTGAGAGAACAAAAGATAATCCACGCCCTGGACGTCTTTCAACTTCGAAAACGAGTGAAAACATTGGGTTCCGGTAGGGCAGACATCGAGTAAAGAATATTGTCTTGAGGTACTACCCACTCGAAGCGAGTAAGTAGAAAGCAACAAAAGTTGTGAAAGAACAAGTCATGGATGCTCAATTAAACACTGTACTGATTATCGAATCATTTTCAGTCAAACATGGGATATGTTAGAACATCCACTCTACTTTTTTGTGTTCCAGATAGTGAAGAAATATTGAGAGGGTCAGATTTGAAATAATGAAATCTGTAATAGAAAAAGCGGTGGAGACTTTGAAAATACTTTCAGAAAATGTTTGAACAATGTTTTGAACAGTAGAAAATTTGAATGGAAAATATAGGGAAAGGGGACGGCAGTAAATTGAAGGAGATTAGGTTAAACCACAGCACTGTATAATTGAGAAGTTTGGACTTTCAGGAGATATGTTCAATAAGAATTTTTCTCAAAATGGACCCAAAATAACTTCTTCAAACGATACGAAGTCATTAAGAAAAACACTGTATATTTCATATAATGAGGCCAAATATTTAGTCCCAGTTTGTGAGAGCACATGTTCTATTTATTTTTTCAACTAATTTTAAATCGTCGATGATATTTCAAGCACATTATAATTTTTCGAATATAGTGTTTGTGTGTTCGATTTGATTTACCTTTTTGAACGTAATTCTACTGTCAAATTGAAGATGGCTAATTCGCAACCTTTGGGACAAACGTTCAAATCTTGTTTCATAACCCCAAAATCTCTGGAATCTATACTCGCACTGTCATCGAAATCAGATTCCTCAGAACTAGAAGATGACGATTCTGAACTTGACTCTACAAAATATTCACATATAAAGCAATCACTAATTTTAGGACAGATTCATTTTTAGGAAAGAAAGGTTTTGGTTTTCTACTTCTCCATCTTTATCAAAAACATGTGGAAATCTTCCAAAGAAAGGAAGAGAACAATAAATTTCAAAAAAATCAGTTTGTGTCTGAAAGTTTCTTCTTCGCATGATCTACACATTTCTGTATGGAGTTAATTGTTTGAAATGGATTGCTTTCTACCTTTCTTTGGAGGATTCCACATTTTTCTGTTGAAAGATGAAAAAGTAGAGAGCCAAAACCGTTCTTTCCCAATCAGTATTGTATTGAACTGTCGGTGGTGGATCCAGAATATTTAAGCTGGAAAGAGGGGGAACGAAGTAAAAAATCTCATCCGAAAATGAGTCAACAATAAAGCGATTAAAAAATATGTTCAATCCAATATTGAAGGTGCTATTTGACTATTGAACCGATTATATTTCAATTACTTCAATGTGTTTCAGGAACTGGATGGGAAGTAGAACATCTCCTAACTTCATCTCCTAACTTCTGGGAATTTGGGAAAAAATTCATGAGCTCAATATGTCCCAGAGTTTTCCAGACATTACGCACTTTTCAGGGCCAATTTCAGGAACTTGAAGAGACTTTATAGAGGAGTAACAGAATTGAAATTAGCTCAGTTGTGGAAAGTTTATGCGTTATTGAGTTGAATAATTTTGAAACTTCTTAATGACAAAATTGAAGCTATACGTTATTCATTACAGTTGTCATTTATAGGTATACTTCAAAAATTATCTTTGAAGAAGTCATTCAGAAAGCATACCATTTCTTTTAATTCAGATCTGCTCTCCAGCCCTAAGGAACAACAAACATGTTTGAACAAAAATACCGGATCTGCGACTCATTTCCTTTTTTTCACGTTCCACTGAATAACGTATTATTTTATTAGTTCCAGATCAAGATGATATATCCAAGATCCATTTCGCTTCATTCTCCATCTGTTATTTGTCCAAACCACGATAACAGGTCAGGACACGATAATAGTATATTATGCAACGATCATGTAATGATGGTTATTAAGACACNTGAAATTTTCAAACATGTGGCGAGTTTCCTAACTGAAATTACTCGTGTTTTAAGTATCTATAATTATCCAAATTATTTATATAAGTATTCTTATAACTCTAATACGATGCGTTGACGACTCTCTATGGAAAGGTAAAAGCGATTATAGGCGGGTTGGCTGTCCTTTTCATCTTTCACTGCATGAACCACTGTGCATGCTGTTTTTGGCGAGTGCATTGGCTTGGGATGTGGGGGTTGAGCAAACCGGCCATCGGATGCCTGCTTCCACGTAGCCACGCTGAATACGGGAATGACAAAATCACTTGTGGTTCCGTTATTCCCTAACTAAATGACATCCCAACGATGGCCTAATCCTGTGTGTATCCGTGCCGAGCTGATGAATGACACTGAGTCTATAAGCTGTCTCTACGGAACCTTCGAGATACCGGGCGCCGTCTCTTAGCATCGGTTTGTCACGGTAATGCAGGGCTCTGCCGTGATTGACCTTCTTTCCTTAGCTACTCGTGGGACTTTTATGGTCAGAGTAAACTTAAAAATTGTTTCTGACGCCGAGTCTACAGAGGAGATGGATGTCGAGCTTAGGACTCCAACTGATCTCCTTGTAAATTTAAATCAGGAGTGAGAGCTTCTCAACTCTCCAACTCCTTATCCAATAACTGAACATAAAAAAGGTTTGTCGGTGCAGCCAGGAAACGACTGTCGTCTCCTTAAGAGCGGGGTACCTTATGAAACCGCCTTGCACCAAATTCTTGAGCGGCGTACGCAGAATCTGTCTCAGGTGGAGGAACAAGTCCCTTATGAGCAGATTAGTAAACGTTTGCGCTCAAGTGATGATTCACCAAAACCAGATTCAAAAAAGCCCTGCACGGTTGAATCTAAGGCATCGCCAGGTGTAGCTGACGTGCAAAAACCCTCATATGATAAGGTTGTCGCGGGTATCAAGGTGGCAATCTTGCACCTTGGCTATCCTACTACCACATTAACGATGAAACAGCAGAGCATATACATTGTGCCTGCCCCACTGGGGACCGAATCAGGTTTTTAGTGTTCGGCAGATTGAAGATTTGTCTCTCTTCTCTAGATACTTTCACGGGAAGTGTTCAAGTGACTTGGCACATTTGATTTCACTAAAAGCGGTACATATCAGAAATACGTGACGGACTATAGCTGCTCATCGTTTTGAGGTTCAACTCAGGGCACCTCGAACTTCACTGTTTAAGAACTCACCTTAGTTCTTGGCTGTGCATGCTTAAATTTATGTTTTTTGATAAAAATCCAGGTTAGGCCAAGATAAGTATATAGATAACGGAAATTGTGAAGCTTCAAATCTTTATGTAGTTTCTCAGAAGAAAGTAGTCTATTTTTTTAATGAAATTTTCAATTATGTATTTTGAGTTGTCTGTAGTCGATTTAGGGAATTATTGAACATGCGAGTGATAGGCGATCATGCGGTTTTTGTTATTTCAAAGAATAAAACTGTCTTAGACGTTTTGTTATTTAATTCGCATGGACATCCCATGTTCATCTACCATGACCCCCAAGTATTTTATTTCTTGTGTTCATTCTATTAAAGAACAAGAGCATATATATGTTTCACATTCAACTTCATGTATGCAGAATGCAGGTATCTTTATTGGGCTGGTCGCTTTGGAGTATTGAAAATGTTATAAATTTAGTTTTATGGATGTTCAAGCTCAACAAGTTGTAGTTCAACCTTATTTGGATATTATGGAATGGAAATGGAAATTATGTGTCCTTTAAAATTAAGAATAGGACTAATGCTATTCATGTAGATTAGGAACAGAACTGGAGATAGTACCGTCCCTTGAGGAATTCTAATTTTCACTTCTCTAGCACTGCTGGTTTGAGTAGTTTGAGTACAGCCATGAAAATGATAACACAGTCTTCTATAGAAAGTGCTCGCATATAATAATTATGGTGACGTACAATTGGTTTGAATCGTACCTCTCAGGCCGAAGTCAAATGGTAAGAACATCGGAACTGTCAGAAAACAGGGCAATTGCATCTGGTGTGCCACAGGGTTCTGTGTTAGGTCCAGTTCTGTTTTTGTTATATACTAATGATTTGAATATGATAGATATATCTGGCAGCTTTACTCTCTTCGCGGATGATACAACAATATTGTGGAAGGAAAAGAACTCAGCAGAGCTACATAAAAAGGTGGAAAATTGGTGTGATGCTAATTTGCTTTCCTTGAATATCGCCAAAACAAATATAAATGCTAAATGAACCCTCAATAGACAATGATATCTTGGAAAATAAATTGAACACAAAATTTCTTGGTGTATTTATTGATAATAGGCTTAAATTTGATGAACACGTCAGACAACTTAAGTGTACTACGCTTTAATTGAATACCAAATAAGACATGGAATATCATTTTAGGAAACATGCAGTGCAACCTTTCTCTCTTCTGTGTTGATATTACAGAAAAGGGCAGTAAGGTGTCTCGGTAATCATGCAGAAATTATTTTGCGGCCAATAAGATTTCAACTGTCATTGTACTGTTTATTCTTGAAACTGTATGTTTGGTGTATAAACATAAAACGGAGTTTGACTTTGTTTCTTCTTCTTATGCTACTAATAGCATATTTAATATAGGACTTCCCATACCTAAGTCAACATTAATCAAGGATTCCATTTTTATAATGGTGGAAAATTATTCAATACCTTACCAGTAGATATGAGGTCTACAAATTACTATTCAAAAAAGCAGTTGGAAATTTGCTAGCTAATACACCCTATTATAGCCTACAAGAGTATTTCAATGATTCGTTTAAAATAAATTACCAGTTCTTATCTATGCACCATTAGTTATATTTATACTTACAAATCTTTGTCAATGGGATGCAAAATATTCTGACGAAATAGTATATTTTGATTTGATTTGACCACAGAGAGTGGCCTTCCAAGATCTCCTTTCCGTGCAAGGAGTCAAACCCAAACCCTTCGGAAAGGGATCAGAAAATATTATTGAGTACAAGTTTGATTGTATGATTTGATGAAAACGAGATTTCTATAGCAGTAATACTTTTTTCTCATGTTATTACACCTGCTGACATCAAGCGAAATTTGATCCTGTTGTTACAGAATAAACATATCCACGACTTCTCAGATCCACCACCACATGAACAATATCGTTTGTCATGAACCCAGTAATAAAATGGAAAACTTACCCTCATCGGTGGCTTGTTTGGGAGGTTTGAATTTTTTTCTAAATACTTTTTTCAAAAAATCGTAATATTTATTGTTTTCAGCGGCATGCTTGAATTTGTCTTGTATCTTGTTTTCATTGGTATGGAAATTTTCAATTATTACCTCGTTTTCTTCTTTTTTATTTTTGAGCATATCAATTTCATCCTCCAATTTATGTACAAGTTTCAGATTATCCATCACTTTTTGTGTCAATTGATCTTCCCCATCTTCGAAATTTTTTAAAATGTTGAGCTCCTGATTCAACGTCAGTATATATATGTCAATAAAATTGCCTCCTACGTGTATAGGTAACCTTTCCTTTTTTGTCTCCTCGATGGTGTTGTTGAAATTTTCTATTTCCTTCTCCATTTTTGATACTGTTTGATCCAGTTTGTACACATGCCTTGAAATTAATTCAATTGATTTTCCTATAGAAACATTCAGTAGCAAAATTTTCTTTTAGTTGCGTATTGGATTATAATAGGCTAAGACAATCAAACAAATTGAATTACTATCGATTAAGTTCTTTATCATACCTTTATTTTGTCATGAAATGCTTTTTTTATAATAATTCACATGAGGAAAAATTACTTTGAATGGGCATCTCCGAAACACTCGATAGTCAAATGAGTTTTTACCTCTGTTATTATGAAATTCTGTAAAAAAAATTAATCTAGGTCCGGACTTCAAATTAACAAATATTATTCACACATCCTGTACATCAGAATTTCCTTCCTGCAGCAGGGAGCGTTAGACTATTCCTGACAAGTGAGGTTTCACCAGCGGATGTAAGAGTCCACCTAAATGATACCTCATCCCTGCACCAAAAGAGTGTATGACTCTGACACTATCAGAAACTTCATTGACACTGGGTGACCTTTCATCGTAGAAGGTCTCGTCGGTTATTGCGAAGCTCCGTTGTGATGGACCTTCATTTCCCAGCTACTCGTGGGACCTTCCATGTCTTCGTGCTCCCTGTAACATCGGATCAAAACTGAGAATTTATCAGTTCTTCAACTCTCGATCCTGTTAACAGGTGGTGCAACAAGGATGAAATTCATCGTCCCCTCAAGAGCAGAATATTTTTTGGGAAAGAAAGTTTTTGGCTTTCTACTACTCCATCTGACACAAAAAAAAGGGATGAGAGAATCTTAATTAATCTCTGAACAGATTAGCGAACCATTACGCTCAGAAGATAATTCATGCAAGCCAGGGGCGAACAAGCTCTGCACAGCTGAATCTAATGTATCATCAGCTATAGCTGACTTACAGATACCCTTATTTCGATTATTTAAATGAAATTCCTTCGTATGCCATTATGCTGCCGTAGATAATATTCCAGAAGATGGTACACGGATACGATTGCAGAGCTACACATTTCAGCCTGAATGATTATATGTTACGAGTATCTGAGAGGATTTGAAGAGTGTTTCCTGACTGGTGAGTACAGGTAGTACCCCTTGGCCATAAGGGGGGAAGTCTCTCTGAAATACGTCATGGAAGCCCTACTTCCCAAGTCACTCATTTGTGTGGCTTACCAATCTGACGTAAGACAGACTTACCACTGATCAGGTCCTTCCTATATTGGGAAAAATGTTCAATGGTCTGTTAACCTTGAAGTGAATTTAGACCTTGGCAGTAGAGCACATACTCTGTTTCTGCCCTCCGCCAGGTTTGCAGCATTTGGTAAAGTCCCACTCTTGCTAGCTGACCTGAAAGTTCACTTATCAGATGAAATAATTGGCTTCGTTGAAAAGCTGGATTTATTTGGCCAGGTTTGAATAGATGTAAGCTACAATGAATTTTGGTGGGTTGCAGTTGATACTCGAATGGACCCAACACTCACTTTGAACTAACCTACTTACCTACATAAGAGTTTGAAACTTTGTATTTTTGAAAAGGGTAGAAAAAGCTAAGTATTTCCGCATGCAATTTTATTACCTGTTTATTCAACTCGAATGTAAATATTTCTGTGACAGGGTATTCAAAATGAAAAAACCTATTTTGCCTTGCGGTTATTATCAATGAATGATAGAAGCATTTGAATTGCATCAAAATTTAATATAACCGAAAAAGGGCTGAGCACGAGCTCAACGAAATCAAGTACTTAGTATTCACTAAGAGGACCAAAACAGAAGGCCTAAGACCTTTAAAACTTGTGACATGGTGGTTAAACGTTAAACCCATGCTATATATGGATTCATGTTCTCGTGGCCAAATATTAAACAAACTGAGCAGGATGCATGTTTGGGAATAACCGGAACAATGAAAACCACTCCTACACCCCCAGTAATAATGGGTAGAGTAGGCCAATTCAGACTAGAAAACTCACCGAGCTTCATGGGATTGGGCAGAACAGAAATATCGAAATGTGTGGAGAAACGAATTTCAAACATGTTCTTGGACCACACGACACCAAAATACATGTTATACATAAACTTCGCGGTTAAAGTTTTAAACCGCGAAGAGTGGATAATGAACAGTCATCCTGATAACATACTTGGGAGAAACACGTGGTATACAGACAGGAGAACCGAGCATGGAATGGGGGGGAATATTCATTTCAGGTACTTACTTGGTCAGTACACACCAATCTTCCAGGCTGAAGCGTATGCTATCTTGCAATGCACATGGAACATAATTTCGAGGCATCAATGAAATGAGCAGATTAATAATTTCATAGACAGCCAGGCTACATCTAGGGTATCTTCGAACCCAAGACATGTCTGGAAATGCCGTGAAGAACTGAAGAAATAAGAGAACAAAATAAAAAAATCTGTTTAACATCTGTTTAAAATCTGTTTTTCCGTTAACCAGCTGTCGCACTCCTACGAACGACAATCCTCATGAGTAGAAACTTGTGCGAGCTAAGGATTAACGAGGTCTTACCTTTTAACGTGTGATTCCTAACACGGTTGACTATATACCTGATATTGCCAGTACACTCAGACATCGCAGGCTGTGGGGGTACCAAAATCTTTGGTAGAAAGGTGGGTCTATAAGAAACATATATAGCATTGGGAAAATATACCAGAGAACACACGAGAGACCGTCCGACAAGAGAACTGAAGAACTGGTTCAACAAAGCAGAGATCAGCTCAAAACAATTACAAGGATACTTACTGGACACTGACTCTTGAGAGGACACCAGACAACCTACATCCTACATCATGTCCAGAAGCATCTAATTTACTTTCAGAAAGGGACCCGCACAAACTAGTTCATGGTACAAGATTGCAATGGGTGTCGTGAAACAAATGGAAGTAAAACGCTATAAGTACATGAGGCTGCAGTGTTTTCCGGGGACTTGGGAGAATGGACAAATCAGGTTCCCAAATACTAATAAAAAACATTTCTAGATGTGTTACTGAACACGCCTATTGTATAGTGAAACGCGTTTTGCGGTTAAGTGAAAATCTCGCAATAAAGTTATGAATTACCATCAGTACAAGCAAATTCCATCACATATCTTGAGTCAAATTGATAGGTAACAATGCGGAAATACCGAAGACAGTTAAGATTACTTGTGTACAGAGTGTTATTTTGGAGTGAATCGAATTTTTTTTATTTTCAAGAACGGTCCTAGATTTGAAATTTTATTTGTACACCATTCCGCACTATATTGTACAAAACACAATTTCATTTTCTCATATATTCTTCGGTATTTAATTGCGATTTGGACTGGCTTAGTAAAGATGAGTAAAGATAATTGAAAATGTGGTCCCTCACGTATCATTTATAAGGAGAGATCTTACAATATTTCTCATTCAATTGAACTGGAAAATGATAAGTTAGCTCTCAAAATATATAATCATGTAAAAGCTTATAAAAATTATTCAATTTTGTGTTCCCAGTGACTGCGATGTATTTTGAAAATTCATCTGTGATAAGATAACGCTGATATGTAGATAATTTTGCAAAAAATCTTACGAAAGGCAAGATTAAATTGAAAAAAGTTAAGCGTAGAGAAAAAGTTTCTCACTAGCACGGACAAGATTCATTTTATGAGATAAAATTTCACATTTTGATGGAAAAATATTGTCAATGATCATTGAAACTTCAGTCAACAGGAAAACAACATCCTTCTACTAACCAATTAGAGAAAAAAATGTGTATCGATTACAATTTCTAACGCAGCGTAAGTTTTACAAGATGAAATTTTCTGTTTTCTATACGACATTTTTCAGTTTGAGGTATTCTATAATTTATGTAATGGATTAACTTATCATTTCAGGTAGTATGCTGAATATATGATTATTAATGAATGGTGTGGAAACATGAAAAACATTTTCTTTCATTTTTCGTAATCAATGTCGTAACTTAGGTGGGTGCTCTAATATTACCTATTCAACCATTTCACTCTTAGGTTCATCTCCATTGGTGTATCAATTTCTTCGGAAAACTCAAGTAAGTTGTCGAAGTCTGAAGAAAGTACTTGCTCAATTTCACCAGCAGATAAAGGACTGACAAATTTTCCATTAGAAAATTTCGGAAAATATGATCGCTTAGGTAGTAGCTGACATTGTACATTATGATGATCTGGTTTCTGCAACAAAAATAAATTCAACTATTGTATGGTCCTTTTCAAGGAACAACAGGTGGTTTTTTTAAAGGATATATAATTCATGATGTTAATTAATTTTGTTTGTCTTCAACTTCCTGAGGTTATATTTCGGCTCTTCACCTAGGTATGTTGTTTCCACATTTTAATCATCCTGCCGCCTAACCTTGTATATAAAAAACTAATAAATAGAGTTTATTCTATGATTTTCACTATAAGGGTTTTACAAAAACCGCGACACGTGTTTCGCTATACAATAGCTTCTTCAAGCATAACTAAAGTTACTTCTAAATTACACCTTATATACTATAACCTAGTAACTATTCGTCTACCTAAGTATAATTGGAAGTAATTCTGTGACAAACATACCGTAAGCAAGTCTAATATTTCATTTTTCACTACTGGATTGATAGAGTTTTTGTCCAATAGATTCTCTACCAAAGTAATCGTTTTATTCGGAGGGATACTGGGAAACAGATTCTTTACATCGAATGAAATCAATTTGGCATTATCCGGGAGTGTAATATTTTGAGACTATCGTACATGCCAGCATTTAGAAAGTCTAAAGTCTTCTCCACGTATTCTTCTTTATTCATGGCTATGACCGTTTTTCCTTTATCAGCTCGTTTAAAAACAATGTTATCTTCTGCTGATTATTGGCGTAGCATGTCCCTATCAACGCGATATCTGTATCAATTCCCAAGACTTCTAAATTTGTCATTCATAATTCGTCCACCCACCCATATCAGCATATAAGGTAGCAGCCTTCAACAGTATGATCCACAGACCGATAAATGTACCCTTGTCAGAAGCGAATTTCAATAAAGAACTGAATATAATAAAGCAAATAGCCGTCAACAATGATTATGATAGTGGCCTGTCAGCTTTGAAAGGAGTTTACCCAATTCGAAGGGAGGAGGATAAAAGTTATAGAACCTTAATCTACTTATGCCAGCCCACTACAAATATTTCAGATTTTCTGAGCAGCAAAGGTGTAAATACTAATTTCAAAACCAACAACAAATTGGGCATGTATATTAAAAATAACAAAGATAAAAGTTCAGTTTCAGAAAAATCAGGAGTGTATAAATTATCGTGTGGGTCATGTCCAATGTTTTATATAGGTCAAACTGGAAGAACGTTTAAAACCCGCTTAAAGGAACACAAATATAGTTTTCAGAACGGAAAAATGAATTCCACATATGCCAGTCATCTAATCTCAGAGGGACATGAGTTCGACCATGAATACAAACCCCTCCATTTCCAGAAGAAAGGTTTGAAACTTAACCTGTTGGAGAGTATGGAAATAAACAAATTCAAAAACTCTCACCATCTTATGAACGATGAAACTGAATTGAATAATTCGCCTTTATTGAATTTGTTCACACGCAGGTAATAATAGTAAGGTATATTTACAGGTAGACTTTCGAAAAATGTATTGATACCTGTCTTTTTCAGGTATATTTTTCAGGTAGATTTATTACTTAGGTAGACGAATAGTTACTAGGTTATAGTATATAAGGTGTAATTTAGAAGTAACTTTAGTTATGCTTGAAGAAGCTATTGTATAGCGAAACACGTGTCGCGGTTTTTGTAAAACTCTTATAGTGAAAATCATAGAATAAACTTTATTTATTAGTTTTTTAAATATGGATTTCCATTAAGTATCGGCCAGTTCTATTCAATAACCTCATATACACTGTAAGTTGTGTTTATGACTCTTTCCATATATTTTATCTGTTCTTTTATCCATATTGTAGCTTTTTTGATGATGATAATAAAGATTTTTGAAAGCTTGGAGTCTGTGTTATAAGAGTACACTGTTTTTGCCTGCTAGCTTTCGTCTCTGAACCTCAGGACAAGTTTTACAATAGAAAATTAATTATTGAATGAAATTTTATTTTACAAAATTGGAGTATTGATGCTAATAGTCTCATCATTTTTAGGTATCTAAATTTGGGTGTTCCAAATTAAGTCGGCACCTTTCAAAGATCATATCACCTTTCTTCCTTAAGTTGAAAATGAGCGACTTATGTGGAAATATTTATTTATTTCAACTAGTACCAAAAATTTTTTTGTATTGGTAAATAAAACCTCATGATTGTCCAAACATACAATTTTGGTACTTATACGAATGACAAAACTTTGTTACTAACAGCAAAAATGGAAATTTGCGCTGTTGCATGTCGTAACACTCGACTTGACACCACTGAGCTATTTGGTAATAATAATTTACAAAACGATAATTTTCATTTCAAAGCCATTTCACTAGTCGTATTTATTTTGTGAATTGAAATATATCTGCTATAATTATAACATTGAAGCCGTTTTTGTCTGTCGATTACTGTTCGAATATATTTTGAAATGCCGTTTTCCCATCAGGAAAATTGTGATACGTTAGAATCCTACTTAGTTTGCCAGAAAAATAGCGTAAGAGCACTCCAACATTGCAACAATTCTCCGATCGTAAATTACCTAATTAGCGTTTTTGCTGTGCTTCATCGTCGATTCAGGAACAATGAAAAAAATTTCGAGAGGAGGAGAACTAAAAAAACGTTCTGTAATATCTGAAGATACAGAAATTGACGTTTTAGTCTACTTTGAGGTGAATCACATATTTATTTAGAGAAATAGCTGTTCCACCGTGTGTTATTCAACGAATTTTGAAGAAACATAAGATTTCTTCTCATAAGCTTATAAGTTAAGACAAGTGCAAACACTACAACCTGGTGATCCTAAGAGACGATTGTGGTGTTGTCGGTGGTTTATGAATAAATGCAGACAAGATCCAAACTTCTATAAAAATTATTATATGGAGCGATGAGGCTAATCTGTCACATTGTAGGATGTATAATAGAAAGAATTTCCATTATTACAGTAGACATAATCCATTTCTAGTCCATCCCCACAATCCGCAAAGACGATTTAGTATTAATGTTTGAAGTGGTCTATTTAGACGCAGAATTATCGGTCCATTTTTCTCCCATGGTTCTTTGAACGGACCCCGTTACATTAATTTATTAACAAGAGTGTTGGGAGAGTTTTTCGATGAACTTGATCTGGAGGCTCGTCATATGATCTATTTTCAGCAAGATGGAGCACTAGCACATAATTTCAGTGGCGTAAAAAGAATGTTGTGAAACTGTTTTATAAATAGATGGATTCCTACAAATGGTCCTGTTAAGTGGCCTTCTCGTTCTCCAGACATGACACCTCTAGATTTTTATTTTTGGGGATTTCTGAAAAAATGAGATGTACAGAATCAAACATAATAATGTAGATGAACTAAAAAATTATGTTGAAACTATAATTAATAGAATTGATGGCCGAATTGTGTTGAAAGCAACACGTAGTGTCAAGAGAAGGGCTCAAATATGTGTTCAACAAGAAGGCAGTATTTTTGAATATTTACTCGATATTTTATAGCTCTTCATTCGCCAAAACAAAGAAATGCTTTGTATTAGTGCAAGAAATACATATTTTCACAAAAGTCACTCATTTTTAACTTCAGGAAGAATGGTGTTATGAGCCTTGTGGTTGAGAATATTTTTACGAATCGAAATGCGTTATAAAATATAGGGTGTTCTATTTTAGAAAATATCATTTTATGATATATTTTGAAGACGTGACTGTCAATTTTTTTGTTTTCGGCATCGAGAAAGCTATTAAAAATGATATCAGTTGGCCCATTCAACGTAGCATCAATAATAACGGAGTTGGCAATGGTGCCGACTCAATTTAGAATACCCGGTATGATCCGAACAAAAAATCCGGGTTCGGAATATCAATACACAGTTTCAGTCATCTCCTGATTCTAACTTGGTTAGCAAAACGCGCGTAGAGGTACAACATTTTCATTCTGGGGAGGAAAAAGTGTTTCCAATACATTCATTTTACGCTAGAGGTTCCAAGTTCTACTCATCAAGTATGTAATAATTACTTTATCACATCGATATTTTGTTATGGATTTTTCTTCGATTACGAAAAACTTTTTATAATTATGTGCTACAGTCAAGAAAAAGTTTTTAGGGACAAATAAATGAAAGGGAAGACTCATGTGCTTACCTCAACAAATTCTTGAGTGTGATGATCAACTAGTTCAGTGTCTTCATCAACGGGTAGAATAATCACTTCCTTTAATTTTTCTTCAGGGAATTCCTCCTTTCTTATTTCAGGTATGTTCGGTCCGAACTTATGCATACTTTCTGGGAGGTCTTCGTTCAACGTTAAAAGTTTATTTCGCAAGTTAATCAATCTATCTCTCACCACATACTTCAAATCTCGTATGTCCCACACTTTTTGTATGAAATTGTGTCTCAAATCATATTGCTGAAAATATCAAGGATTTTAGAACCTCTAGCGAACGCTTGTGAAAATTGGAATAAAATAAAATTATTACAAGCGTTAAAGAAATGATCCCATCTAGGATCAACATTCATAAAAATCAAATACGAGTCAAAATTGAACAGAGCCACCCCTTAATTTCAAACACTGAAAAAGTAAAATCCATAAAACTGTTCATCTTTTGAAATGAAATGAAATTATCATTTTGAATATTTGAAGAGCTTTAAATTTTACATTGCAATTTTCTATAAAATTATTAGGCGCAATTTCAGAATTTGTTTCTATTATGAAGATAATTTCAAAGGTTTCAATTCGACATTTTTACTTTAATGGGTCGATTTTTCTATCTTGGATGCGAAATAGAGTAGTCACGAATACACGAAAAGAATGTCTATCTTTTATTGAATTCGATGGGTCCGTCTGTTTTTTCTCAAACGGGAACATTGAAACAGAGTCTTGTCAGCTTGTCAAATCGTTGGGATTTCTTGTTCTTTCAGTTACCGAAAGTAATTTATTTTACCTATTTTTCACTTTCTCATAATCGCTTCCGATCAGCTGTTTATTGTTTGAGTAGCTGAGTAGCGTCATCATTGGTAGTCATTAGTGGTCTTTTAATGACTTCATTTCGTTTCCGTTTGTTACCCTGTATATTTTTCCCATAAACTCAATAATTCAATTATTTTTTTTCACCATAAGAAATATACAAATAAATAGCCTTAATGAAAATAGAAATACCTATTGGTAAGTAAATACAGAATACCCAAAAAAAGTTACCCTTGAGCATGGGTGTGGCGTATAATATTAGTATATAAGTATAATGTTATAATATATATAGCATCCCATTGGAAGCTTTCGCTTTTAAAGGCAAGCTTCTTCTCAGGGCCTATAATTGATCAAGTTGTGAATTTTTTGCCATTGAATAACATTACAAATTATACTTACAGTAAAAATGAGTGAAAATCAATGAATTGAGTATATACTGCTGAGATTATCAATGACAGTTTTCTTATTCATACAATCAGAAGACTTATTAATCTCAACTATTAAAAAAACGGCGTTTGGACTTTTTTTCTATACAAGTATGTATTGAATGAAATTCAATGTGAAAAAATACAGCTAGAAAGGAAAATGATTTTCTGAACATGGCTGACGAATGGCGAGGGATGTGTAGGTTTTGGTTAGTTCGAAGGTTGAAAGAATGGAGCTCTAACCTCCTTATCAATTTATTGAATAGGGGAACATGTATTTTAGATTTCAGTACTGAATAGGTTAAGTTGTAGTGTAGGCAAGATTCGTCTATGTGGATAAAAAACTTTTTTTCTTTAACTCTGCACACCCCGTATACCATTTGATTGATTACATTGATTACCGATATTAATGCCAATATCCTGGGGTTGGAATTGTTGCACAACAATAAATCCATCAACGACTGCTACTCTAATGATGTGCAACTATCGATAGACAAAACTCCAAATTAGTAAATTGGAGCAGGCGCTCTAGCAATTCTTTCATGGGTATTGTGTCTTCACAACACCGTTTGCCAATAATTGCAGACCATACAGGATGACGTATAAAGCCATAATCCGAGAAATGAAAAAATAACTTTTATAACATTATGAAAACAATAGATTGTGAGAAAGTTAGTGGATGAGAAATATGGATGTGGTTATATAGATGATTCAATTGATATATAGGGGGTGATACAGGAGAGAATAATGGTAGTCAAATGTATTACAGAATATGTACGAAAAAACATGTCGCAAGATTTATTGAAGAATAACGCTTTGTGGAATTTTAATAAAACAAATAATATATATTGAAATGATAATTAATCGACAAAAAACAAGAGTTTGTTGCTTGAACTGAAGCGCATTCAGTCAAAGATATGAGGTTCCACCCCATTTTCATTTCGATTTCCCACATTGATAATATATAGTCCAACAAGTTTGTTAACGCATACTTGACATTTGTTTCATGTCTGGCGTATCCAATGAACCAAAGAACACTTGATATATGAGCACATGTGCCCAGTCTTCTGGCACCAATAATATAAGGTTATAGGGTTATCATTTTTAGATGTGTACTGTATTAACATTATATATTTTTCATTTTATTATATTTCATGTTTGTATTCATATTTTCATTCCATTATATTCAAATTGTCTACGGGTTTGGAGAATTACATTGACATGTTACTAATACAGCTCCATGACGATGTCACTTTCAATGAAATGAGTGACTTTCACTATATCACCGCAACTTGCAGTGACAGGGAACTCGTCTGGATATTCATGGATATCACTTATGAAGAAATCAATCATCAAGTCATTGTGGAGATTTGATGTAGGTGGCCCATTCGTAGGTGGTGAATGAAATGTGTCGAGGCGAATATTTCTGTTTCAGGATCACACAGGCCCTAAAATCTCTCGTCGGAGTTGGACCACATCGAAATTCGTAGGCGTCCATTTGGAACGTCATCAATAGCAGCAGACTTTACTTTAGGCATTGACTTCGTACCTGGTCAATGCCGTATCCACACCATCATCATATTGAAGTTGAGTTACATTTTTATACATATTCAAAGCTTGATTGATATTACCGCTGTCGGACAATGCCACTTCTGCGGTGTTGGCTGGACTACTATCGTAGTTGAATACTTGCTGAGTTGAAGGAGATTCCCAACTTCTCAATACTCGATTTGACTCTAATGCTCGATCAATAGCTTGAAAGTTGACTTGTAAATCACTACCACTAGCACAAATAGTCACTTTATCATAACCACTGACATAACTACTATCGAACGTCATTTGGCTCTTGCTGATGATCAAACTAGACTGAAAATCATCTGTTGGGATCGTTTTACAGCTGGGATCACGAGGTCAGCTCACATTGCATATGCAGAATGAGGTAGATATGAAAATGCTACCTCTGGAACGAGTTGATTGGCACTTGTTCTTCATAAGATACTGTAAGAAATTTTCAGTACACGAGTTGTTATCAACTCAAGCCATTTCACGAACGTTTTCTTTTCCCTTCGTCTGAGTACGTTTCGACGAGTTCATAGTTTTTTGTGATTCTTCTACATATGTAGCACCTTTAATATGTGTACCGTGCAATATCTACTAGCGTAATTCAATAATTCCGTAGTCCAATTTGGGGTGGAACCCTTCTCGAATATATGTTTTGATTTCGAAATTCGTACAATATCACCAACTTATGAATTTTCTCGACCCAGCAATATATACGAGGCATTGGGAATTTTTTATTCGTTAGACTCGTTGATTTGGGAGGGTTTGTAGCCCAACTTGCTGTGACGTGTATCATTGTAGGTTTTCGTTATTAGAGGTAGTACGTCTATCCATTTGTATGTACCTTTCAAACTGAAATATTCAGAAAGCTCCTCTTGCAATATTCTGATTACACGTTTGGCTCAACGTAGCTTAACGTAGGAATTTGTTATTGTGAAATTACATACCATGATAAGTTTGCAGATTTTTCGGACGGCGTTTTATGTGTATCAAAATATCTGAAAACATTTTGACAATATCTCTCACTTCGAGAAAAGATTTCGGTAATTTTTTTATGGCGAGCTCCAAATTTTCAACTAGGTCTGAATGTTAGATATTTGCGGTAGATCAGAATTGTTTCAACTTCCCTTTTTTCCGGTCGAAATATCAGTTTCTTGCATATATTACGAAATCTTGGTATTATTTTCGTGAACCAAATCGGTGAATCGTTCAATATCGATTCCATATTGTCGGTTGAATTTTTCATGTAACTTTTTCAACTGTTCCGTAGCATGTTGAGCCGTCTGAAACAGATTGGTGTCAACTGTTTGAACTTTTTCATCAAATTCGGTGCTGAACTTCCTAACCTCATTGTTTATATGAGTTCTGACATCATTTTCAGATTGTACATTTCATCGCACGCTTTTTTCGTGATTTCGTATTTTTTTTCTTATGGAAGCAATGAGATTTTTCTCAACTTCATCTAGGTAATCTTCGTTGGCTGCATCTGATGCGTTCGTAGACCGTTTCACATTACATAATTTCAAGATATCAAAATCAATGTCGCCATCGGATGTATATAGCAAACCAACACCACTGCCTGCCGATACGCTGCGGGATGCTTTCGGTTCCTATTGGACCTATGCCCAAACTTGTAGATAGTCACGAGGAAAATGCGACACATACAGATAAGATCATACTAATAATACGCGTTTTTGATGTGATTTTCGCGACTGAAATGACCGCGTTATTTTTTGCAAAATTTTTGATGTGATTTTTGGCGACAGGTAGGTATAAATGCCTCATCGCGCTTTATTTCGGACGTATTCTTTGTAGCAATTTTTTTGAATTTTTCATGTAACTTTTTCAACTGTTCCGTAGCATGTTGAGCCGTCTGAAACAGATTGGTGTCAACTGTTTGAACTTTTTCATCAAATTCTGAACTTCCTAACCTCATTGTTTATATGAGTTCTGACATCATTTTCAGATTGTACATTTCATCACACGCTTTTTTCGTGATTTCGTATTTTTTTTCTTATGGAAGCAATGAGATTTTTCTCAACTTCATCTACGTAATCTTCGTTGGCTGCACCTGATGCGTTCGTAGACCGTTTCACATTACACAATTTCAAGATATCAAAATCAATGTCGTCATCGGATGTATATAGCAAACCAACACCACTGCCTGCTGATACGCTGCGGGATGCTTTCGGTTCCTATTGGACCTATGCCCAAACTTGTAGATAGTCACGAGGAAAATGCGACACATACCTACAGATAAGATCATACTAATAATACGCGTTTTTGATGTGATTTTCGCGACTGAAATGACCGCGTTATTTTTTGCAAAATTTTTGATGCGATTTTTGGCGACAGGTAGGTATAAATGCCTCATCGCGCTTTATTTCGGACGTATTCTTTGTAGCAATTTTCGTGATGCCCAATTTTTTCATGACATATTTTTGTGATATGGGCGGATATTACTCCAGGTACTTCATCATACTCTCCTCTGACGGTGGGGATGACTCATGGAATACCTCATCACCATCATTTTTACCGTCTTTTCCTGTTTCAACATCTCCGAGTGGTAGAAATTGTGTGTCTTCAAATGCTCGCGTTCAATCGAATGCCCGAAATTGATCTCATGATTCTTTTTCATTTGCTCCTCCACCTCCTTCTTCTCCTTCTTGAAACCACGCCTCAGATGGCCTTTCATTTTTTTAGAGGATTATCTTTCAGCGGTCTCGATATAGGACTTTTCCAATTTCAGAGCTAGATACCTTTCTTTCATACGTATTCAAGAAACATTTCGAAGTAAGATTTTCACTATGAAGTGTTTCTTGAATACTGTATGGATTTTCATCAAGTATCGACCGATTCCAACACAAATTTTCCTTATACCTTTCGGAATTTCAGTGAGTTTGTCTTTGCGCGCAACGTAGAGTTCTTTACTAAACGGTTTTATATCGACAAATAACATTTCTACCTCTATTCACACACATGTATGTGTTTTTTGAAGGCTTTTTGATATCATTTCGCATTCAAATGATATCCCTTGACTATTATGAAAGTTCCATACGTGTTGCGCCAATATATTGCATTTGCTTCAAATTCATTTCGTCTTGATTAAACAATACAAGCATGTTGCAATTATCGCGTATCAGTTGTTTGGATATCTTAGAATCCGTCTGACATAGATAGATGATATCGATGTCCTTGTGTCAGCATGTGGAATAATATCTGCGCGAATTTTCTGCTAACCATCGCAGGCTGCAACCTCAAAAATAGAATCGATTTATAATTAATCCAGTCAATAAGGGCATGGTGGTTGGTAGATGTGATGTTTTGTATAAAGTTCATCAATGCCATTATATTTTTTCTCAAACTTCTTATGCACAGACCCACCTACTTCAATCTTCTAACTTGATTAAGTTCGCTCATTTCTTCAGGACGTTAATAATGATATTGTAATCAAATTTCAAAAAGTCATGTCGCGTTTTTTGGCGGAAGAAAGCTAATAGTGATTTGTCTAGAGAGCCAAATAATTGCTCGCACATGACATTAAGAGAGTTTTCATACTACTATGTGAAGGAGAGCGATTTGAAATGAAATGAAACCAGTATTAATTATATTTTGTCAGAAGTGAAATTGTCATCTTAAGTATATTTTCAAACCTTCAATCTGGCATCCAGTACTTGTTTATATTTCTTGACTGTTGTTTCTCTGAGGTGTGGAGGTGGTTTGTAACTCAAGTCTTCTTTCAGTTTGTAGTCTCCTATACACTCCCGGGCTTCAGCAAGGAGTTTTTCATCATCAGGATGATTTTTTCCAGGAATAGGTTTCTTCGACAAAAAAGTATCCCACTGAAAATGAGGGAATATATTTGTAGGAAATTTCTATTAGTACGGGAATGTGTGATATTGATACTTTGTTACTATTATAAATTGTTTTTATGCGGTAATTGTGATTGAAGGGTTGAACCCTCAGTGATTTTTGCAATTTATTCATCATTACCTTTCAGATGTTAATTCTATTTTGAATGCAACATAGATGAATAAATATTATTATAAGGTTCGCGACATATGGTTATTAATAGATATAATGATAATTTGACTTCGTAGTTAGTTTGTGCTTGAAAAATGAATGAAAAGCAGTCTCAATCCTTTTGTCATGTGCTGCTCTAAACCTGTTAAATTTGACATTTTTTTCGAAATTCTTCCAAAAAATCATTTTCTTTATAAACTTCGAAGAAATGCCAAAGAAAAAAGTTACTTAGTTTCCAATTTCATACCCTTTCTCAAAATTTGGGCTCTCTACTATCACTTTGACTATTTTCCAACTTTTTTGTTGTTGTAAAGTTCATCTTGTTTTTTCATTTCATTGTTAATTCGGATTCTCAATATATGGACGTCAATATGTCAGTAATCGAATAAACATATTTCTCTTCATTTTTTTTTATACTCGTACTCTTTTTTAAAATAGATTTTTAACCAGTTTGATTATTTTTCTGACCAATAATTCAGTTACAAACTAACCCGAAATATTGTACTTTTCTATAAACTAAACATTGATCTACAGTTTCATAACTATTGAAAAGACTTTTGATCTAGCGATTTGTACTAAACATGATATAAAATTGCGTGATTTTAAACATTACAAGACTAATACAACATGTTGGGAAGAAAATAGTAGGTGAAGAAAAAAAAATGAAACTTTCTATGTTTTTTACCACTTTTATTAATAAAAAAACTTTCTATGTTTTTTACCGCTTTTATTAATGAAAGTGGTAAAAAACATAGAAAGTTTCATTTCTCTTTTCTTTATTATGATTTCCTACCACGTAGTAAGTAACGGCTACATCCATCAATTTATTGAAAGAAGCAAGTACAGGCAGACAAGCCACATACTATTTTAAACTAAAAACGAAGTACCATCAAGCATCGCAGAATTTATAGTTGTACAAAGAGTGCCTGAGAAGAAAAATTACCCCGAAATACATTAACATCAGGACCAGGACAAAAACACCAGCAAAAAAAATAAAAGTGGTAAAAAACATAGATAGTTTCATTGTTAGGTATGTTGTGGTAGGTAACGGCTACATTCATCAATTTATTAAAATAGTAGGTAGGTGAATCGAAATAAAATTTTCCCTCAGTAGGCTTTCGAAACAAATTTTTAGTTTTAGTTAATGCCAAATTATTGCGTTTAATGAATCGAGTTGTTTTGTGTACAGATTTTCCTACATTTATAATTCACCAAATAAGTTTCATCTACAATGTTATCCACGCAAGACAAAGTGGAAACCGTTCTTTTATGTGTTGAGAATGTGCCATATCTAGATGTTGCTTGTATTTTCAATTACCGGCATCCAGGAAGAAATATTCACTTTAGTGCCGTGGGAAGGATATTTATTGCATTCATTGTAAGTGGCTGTGTGGACGTTCGTTTCAAGAAACCACATAATCCAATAAAGTATAATGAAGAGGAACAACAGAACAACTTAATGTTTGTTTGAGCGTTGTTGAAAACGGAAAAACTAATATTAGGAGTATTAGTTAAGATACAGGGGTTGGCAGAGAACGTGTAAAAGAATTTTTCACAAAAATAAATTCCATCCCTACAAGCCAAAGTTCATAATTCTTAAAGAAAGAGATTTCGATATTCGAGTAGGATTTTTATTTTGGTTTCAAGGTGAGAGAGAAAATGATATCGCATTTCCCTACTGGATTTTATGGACAGACGAGGCACCATTGACGACGAATACAACAGTTACTTCCCAAAATTGTCGCTAGTGGTCCAACAATAATCCAAAGTTTGTAACAGAATGCCGTAACCAATATTCATTCAAAACAAATATGTGGTGTGGGTTATTACATAACAAAATAATTTTAGAGAAAATTTGAATATTATTATTGTTGATCAAGAGGTAGATTTGTGAATTAATTTTTCTACCATTCTTGATACTTCATCATTTTATGAATGTTCTTGAGATACCTTCACGTGACGCTAGCGTTCGGAAGAAGTTATTGGAATTGAAGGTCATATCGAATTCAAATTCTGGAATATTTCTGAATTTGAATAATTCAACGGAAAAAAAATTCATATGTCTGTCTTACATCTTCATTCTTGAATGACTAGAAGTTGGGTACATGTCTGAGGACGAAATCTTCCATCGGACTAAAACTTCTGTATATAAAAGAAGAAGAAGAATTTGGTGTTATTGTTTATTTCAATTCTCAATTATAATTTGACAATTCATGGTTCTCCTAGTAAAAAGAAATGTATTGTTAAATTACTGTCGTGAAAGTACATTAAAAAAATAAAGGATACCATGGCCAACGCTCTGTTTGGATGGGACTTATTGTATGGCAGTGTGGAAAAGGATATTAAAAGTGATCAAGACATTTTGGTATGCTTCACTCATCTTGTTCTCGTTTCACATGGATTCAGAACTGTAGGATTAGGTGAATCTAAAACTCTTGAAGGTAATGAAATAAAATCCGAAGTACTGCCTAGGGATTGGAATCAGTTTTATGCCATAAGATATATCTACCAAGGACGTTTGTATAATTTCAAAGCAACTATGGTAGATGATGGGGTGATGATAAATTTATTGAGAGTGGATGAACGTTCTGTTTCTCTCATACTGTTGAATTCCAGTTGGGTAGTCAAAAAAAAAGGAACTTTGGATGAAATGATACCTGATAATAGAAATATCAGTGATAAAATAAAAAAGCAACTAATCGACAAAGTCATAATTTCTAAAAAAACTAAGGAAATGTCTTGCCAGACAGAATCAGAGCAAGATACTCGTAGAAATACAAGTCTCATTGAAAATCAAAGACCTGAGTTGCCGTGGGGTCCTGCACTGTCGGTGGGTCCTTTTCCAATCGTGGATCCGAGAAATTATGGTAGATCAGATTTAGATCCTTTAGGAGGGATTGACCCCTTGAGGGTTCCAAGCAATAGAGGTCCTGGTGGTGGGGGAATGCTGTTTCAACCACCAGGACCATCGTTTGGAGGCCCACCTCTTCATCCAGGAAACCTTGGAGTTCCTCCAGGAGCAATACCACCAGGTGCCAGGTTTGATCCATTTCGACCTCCAGATGTAGATAGGTCCTTTAATAGAAGACCTAACAGGCCAGATAATGATGAATTTCCGCCTCCGGGATATGATGATATGTTTATGTAAAATTAGTTTAATGTAAGCATCAAAATGATAGCTAACAGGAAATTATGTCAATTTGTATTCTTTCTTAAGTTGTGAATAAAATCAACAATAATGTATGAGATGAACCATTCAATATCTTTAGATATTATTCAAGTCTTTAGAAAATATATTTCAGGTTGGAATGCCCCGAACATACCAAATGGTTTGAAAATATTAAGGTGTAATTTTTAGAACTCATTGAAATATGGCCTTGTATGAAATTGATAGTACTTTTGGCATCTACTTTTTCTCAGCACCTAAAACTAATTTCTTTTTAGTTTGTTTTCATCATGTCATAGTTTTTGAATTATTTTTCCCAATCATAAACATGTATGGGAATTGAATTCATTATTGAAAACTGTGTAAGAAACATTGGAAATTTGAAAATTTTTTTTGTAATGCAATATACTCATTGATAAAATGTCTCACAAGGTGAAATTATTGATATGACATATTAAAAAAATTAAATCAGTGCTTTTGAAGTGATGTTTTTTGTCGTGCAGTTTTCGAAATAGGGTAAGAAATAATTTTGAAAAAATGGTTTATATGTTGAGATCAATTGAATGAGTTGAATATTGCTTCAAGTCTGAGTTTCTGAACCCATTGTGAGCAGGTTGAATTGAGGTGGAAATGAAAATTGTACCATGAAAAACCTACATTGCATATCTACCATACTGAGACATATTATTCCTGAATGTAGACTTGACAAAGTTATAACATCTAAGGCGTAGGCAGATTGAGACCTCAGAGAGAATTAGTGACGAAACCAGGGACTAGGGAGATTGAGGCCCTGGTGTCAAGTCACATCGATTTCTTGAAAATGGCTCTAAAATCGGAGCCGAAATGTCGAACACAAAAATGGATAATGAAGTATTGGAGCGTGTAGAGGAAGTTGAATATTTAGGAGTAACTTCTAAGCATACCATGTAGAAATGATGGCGGAAGTTGAGGTTTTGAACTCATCGACGATCTAAGGAGTGCTTATGATTCATTGTTCCTAATTTTTCATAATTCTGCATTATAATATTGAGTGAAATTTTGAGACAGTCGGATTGAAGACCCATTTACACCATAAAACTAATTGCAAACGAGTTGGCCATTGCTATTAGTTGATTCAATTGGTTGTTTTCTTTAAACAACTTTTAAACTGTTTTAAGGTTATCATGAATATATTTCAGATCGATTTATTTGCCTCTATTTTGTCTCTCAAGCTTTCAAATTGTTAATATGGCTATGCAGAAATGAAACTGAGTAATGGTACTGCCAAATTATTTTGTGTAAACAAAATTAATGAAATACCAAGTTACAAAAGTATCAATATAACTTTGAATTCTCTAAAAAGTGGGACTTGATTGGTGTGAAGGTTCCAAAATCAAGAACCATGATATGGACAATTCGGTTAGAAATTAAAATGTTTTATGCATTTGATCAACATATATATTAGTATAACTTGGTGTACAATCTTCACCTCTTTCATGAAAGATTCTTATCTGTAGTAATACTTACTGAGTTTATGCTTCTGTTCCACAACATATCTATCAGAATTTTAATTCATCTGTTTAAAATACACATATATTAAATAATACAATACTCTATGTTTATTTAGGTTCCATCTATTGCTTGATGAAAATTGGAAGCATGTTTTATCAAGACGTTCAACACAGAAAAGTGAATGTCAATTATGATAGATAGTTTATTTAACCAAGTTATGTAAAAAAATTACATTTGTAGTAAATAGCAAGTGAAAACATTATTGTTTGAGTCATACAAAGGAATCGTGCCGACAGCTGAATGGCCGCAGGGTGATATGCGGTTACGAACGATCCCCTTGAGGAACCGGGCGAAACTTCATTGTAATCAGCCTGGTAATGCGGGGCTCTATCAGAGTTGACAAACTCTTCACTTGCTACTCGTGGGAACACATGAATACAATTGAAACAAATCAAACTAAAACCAATCCCGAGGCTGGACAGAAATGCCCACCTTAATCTATGGCGGTAGCTAGGGATGAACAGAAATGTCCACCCCAATCTACCGTTCAGAATGAGGCTGAGTATAGCAGATCACCTCGTGATGTAACACAAAGGCCAAGGCGTAAGCGCATTTGCGGCGCCGAGGCTAAAAGTAGAAAGAGCGAAAGTGGCAGGAAAGCAATTTAAGTGCACCCTCCTTCTCTTCCACTCCACCTACAACAGCAAGGGCACATCCTGCGGCGGGCGCCAAGAGCTCCGCCTTGAATAAAGGCAAGCAACTGGCTTTCCCAGCAGGCAAACGGTTTCACGTGAGCACCTTCACGAAGAGAATTCCAAGAAGGTGAATAGTAATGTCGCTGCACCTTCCTAAACCTTTGTGGAGGCCGCCGTGAAACATCTCAAGGTTGCCATCATAGATGAGACTAACCCGTACGGTAAGTTTACGGCAGAACGGCAGAGTTTCATCAAAAAACAACTGCTGGAGCCCACGTTCAAGTCGTGGACGTACTCCGGTGAAATCATCAGAGTGGTGTGCGATGACGACGTGACGCTAGAGTGGCTGAAGAAAGCCACAGTGAACATTAAGCCATGGGAGGAGGCATCACTTGCCGTTGTCAGTGTGGATAAGCTCCCAAAGCTTACCACACTGACTACCAGTTAGTAGCCTAACTGGTCAAATTTTCAGCTTACCAAGCAATCAGCAACCTAAGACTACTGTTTACATTCGTAGGAGTTACAGAGCCTTTCCGATTGCACAATTCTGCATCTCAGATCTCACTGTGGTTAAAGTGGAATGTCCAGATGGAAAAAGCAAATATACGGCGTTGACACTCGCATCGATGTATATTCCTTCAGATGCAGCCACTCTACCATCGACCAGAGAAATGGAGGTACTAGTGGATCACTGCCTCAACCAGAGAGTGGAGCTTATATTGTGCGAGTAGTATTTATACCCAAACCAGGTAGGATGGACTACACATTACCAAAAGCATTTCGACCAATCAGTCTCACAACGTTCTTTTTGAAAACTATGAAGAGGCTATGTGAGCGGTACATAAGAGATGAAGTATTAGTTCACAACCCACTTCATCCAAATCAGCATGCATATATTCCGGGAAGGTCTACTGATTCGATCCTTCATCATGTGGTTGGCAGAATCCAAATATCATTGGACAACACAGAATTCACTCTGGGTATATTCACAGATATCGAGGGAGCGTGTGATAAAACAACCTTCCCAACGATTAGCCAGCAACTACACTACAGGAATGTACCTCTAGTAGTAGGAGAATGGATACTTAAGATGCTCTCTAGTAGAGTAATAAGTATCAATGCAGAAGACATCGCAGTGAGAGGACTGGCTATGAGGGGATGTCCACAGGGAGGGGTATTATCACCCCTTATTTGGATACTCTGATTATAATCACCTCAACATGGTGTAAGGAACACTCACTGTCGATCAATCCCAAGAAGACTGAGATGGTCCTTCTCACCAGGAGAAGTTTATAGGGAACTTCTCTGAAGAGGTGGAATACCTTGGTACTATCCTCGACAGGAAGCTAACACCTACAGAGTAGAACAAAAAGAGCATATGTGGCTTATGAGCATTGTCGGAGGACAGTGGGACGCGCATAGGGTTTTTCACTCCGTGTGATCACCTGGATCTACACTGCAATAATAAGACATATGTTAACGTACGGAGTCATTGCATGGGGACCGAAAGCTCTACAAGCAACGGCTATCCAAAAATTATATCAAATATAGCGATTGGCTTGTTTAAACATCACATGAGCTATGAGAACAATGCAATGGAATTAATTACTAGTCTGACCCCACTGGACCTGTACGTTATGGAGGTTGCGTTAATGGCCATGTTACTATTGCACACGGCTGGTGTAAACCTCGAAGTAGGAATGGGTCAATTGAGGCTATGGCGAGAAGCGCTTACTGCGCAACCTCTGCTGCAGGCAACCAGTGATGCAATTGAACCCAGGTTTGTGTTTAATAAACCCTACAAAATACAAATGAAACAGAGCACAGAGTTAGTGCCACCAAGATTTAGCCAAAGCCTCGGTAGATAATAACATTATCCTGAGGTGGGTTAAAGGGCACGACAGGAGTAAAGGTGATCGCATTGCCAAGGAAGCGGCTGGACTAAGAATTTTAGGACCCAGTGGCACCTACGGTCTGATGACTTCGACAATTGCAGAACTAGCGAAACGCCACGCCCATGCTCAATCCCTAAAGAGATGGGATGAAATCAGTAGGATTTCTGACTGGCCACTGTCCACTAAGGAAATACCTCCACAATATAGGGTTAGTGAAAGATGAAACTGTCAGGCATGTTATATGCGAATGTCCGGTGTTCGGCGAGTCTACACCTGCCGATATAAATGAGATGTCTCCCAGAGACCTGTCCACCTTCCTGGAAAGGACAGGATGGACGATGATCTAGGAGTACAACTCCTCGGGAGGATGTACAGTGGGTTACATGTGGCTTAAGTGCTGTGGGCCTACACTCACCCTCCCTACTCTACAGATACAGAGCCATACAAACATATGAACAACCAACAAACATTTCAAATAGGTTACAAATAAAATTAAATTAAAAAAACACAACTATCACCAGTGGTGATATGAGAGATACAAACATGATGTAAATAATATGGTAATTGAAATTTAAAAAAATATATGGTATCAAGATCAGCACATTGTTTACGATTGTTCAAGTAAGAGCCAGACAGGGAAAGTGCAACTTCTCTGATTTCGTATTCATTTAGTTTCATCAGTAGATTGTGGCGAGAAACACAGTCAAACGCCTTGCTCAAATCGCACAATGTCGCCGAGCTATGCTGTTTTTGTTCAAAACCATCAACTATGCTCTTGACCACACGAACAACAGCTTCTATAGTAGAACAATATTTTTTAAAGCCATATTGATCCGTGTTAGTATCAAAGTCTTTTTTGAGAATAATTTCAAACATTTTGCCAAATATATTAGGGACGATGGAGATGGGTCGATGATTTTCGAGGAGGTTTAAGCAATATTATTATTAGAAGGAAGTTGACTAATTATAGTTTCAGCTATAGTGGTAAAAACCGTATTAAATTCATGAGGTGT